AACAACGTCAATAATTTAGCTACATATTCCAAGTAGTCGGTTGGGTTTAAGTCAACCAGTCGCGGAAAATCACGCTAGGTACTTTTATCACTTATGATACAAAGAACACATCTGTATAAACGAAAATCAACAATATTTTGGCGTACGCTGGTACTCTGTAAATTTGCCGTGTGTTTATAAATACATTTTTATTTTCACAAAAACTTTTAAAGCGTATAGTGCGTTAAATTTTTTCATACTGGATCGTTTATGAGAACCTTTTGGTTAACCCTAGTATGTTAATAAGGAATGATGTTCCTTCTGATAGGCTTACTCAATTCGAGCATACCAAAGTCAACATCTCTTGATTTTAGTCAAAAAATTTATGAGATGGAATTTAGGAATTTTGGAATTACAAAATCCAACTTTTATTTTTCATTACTATACTTAAATTATTCTTTAATTAATAAGAAAATAACATATTGACTTCTTTACTTCTATTTTTAGTCATTTTTTTCGAGAGAGAAAAAAATCCAAACATGTGGCCCAGTCTTACCTTCGAGTATGAAAGAACGTTTGTGTTAATTGAATGTTTACTTAATTTAATAATACATAAGTATAACATTTCAAATACATGTAAAATCATCTTAATTCATTAATCTTATCATCTAAATTGCCTGAGCTAAATACTATTATTGATGATATTAATTTTTCAAACAGAGACTGTATAAATAGTGTATTAAATGACTTCACTTCTGTTATACGGAGCGTAGCGGACCCTTTTGGAAAATGTTGTAAATTTAACACATGTTCCAATTTTAGTGATAAATCAGTATTAGATAACTCTGATTGGTTTGACAGAGAATGCATTAATGCAAGAAATACATACTTGGAAGCATTACGGGTTTTTAATACATGTACTAATGATTCAAATAGAATAATATTATGTAATTGTAAAAAGAAATATAAAGATATTGTGCGGAAAAAGAAAAAAACGTTTTACAATAAAAAAATGTCTGAATTAGAAAATTTAAAGCATAGTAATCCGAAACAATTTTGGAAATATTTTAAGAGTAAATCCAGTTCAAAACATAACGGTATCCCTGTACATGTATTTAAGGAATATTTTGAGAGCATAAGTAGTGATTTATTTAACTGTACAAATATTGATGCAGAAAATGTTTGTGAAAGCCATTCTTTTAATGACTTGAATACTCCATTTGAAGAATTAGATAAACCAATAACTTTAGAGGAAATTTCAAAAGCTGTTAAATTATTGAAAAGGGGTAAATCTTTAGGTAGTGATTATTTAATGAATGAATATTTCATAGAAGGTTTTGATATAATAGGTGCGCATTTGTGTGATATATTTAATGCTATTTTAAATTCGGGTTTTTATCCAGAGAAATGGACTGAGGGAATTATAATACCTTTGCATAAGAAGGGTAGTACTGATGATGTTAACAATTATAGAGGTATAACATTAGTTAGCTGTTTTTCAAAATTATTTACCACTGTGCTTAATAATAGAATTGAAACTTTTTGTGAAAGTAATAATATTATATCTGATGCTCAATTCGGTTTTCGAAAAGGGCGTTCTACAATGGATGCTATATTTATTCTTTTGTCTTTAATCCAAAAATATTTAAATCAAAATAAACGTTTATATGTAGTTTTTGTTGATTTGATGAAATGTTTTGATAGTATTTACAGAAACGCATTATGGCTCAAAATGTATAAAATAGGTATCCAAGGTAAAATGTTAAGAATAATTAGAGATATGTACCAAAATGTAAAATCATGTGTTAATTCATGTTCTAGTTATTCTGATTATTTCAATTATGCCATTGGCCTACGTCAAGGGGAGGTAATTTCTCCAATTTTATTTTCTCTCTTTGTTGAGGATTTGGAACTTTATTTGCAAGACAACATTGAAACTGGTTTGACATTTGATGATGTTATATTGATTTTATTATTATTTGCTGATGATATGGCCATCGTGGGCAAGTCACCAATAGAACTTCAAAATAATTTAGATCTTTTATATTCATATTGTAATACTTGGGGTCTCAAGGTAAATACTACTAAAACTAAAGTAATGGTTTTTAGAAAGCGTGGAGGACTTCTACCCACAGAACACTGGACCTACGACGGCCAAATCTTAGATATTGTAAATGATTTTAACTACCTGGGTACTGTTTTTAACTATACTGGTAATTTCACACTTAATCAGGAACATTTAATAGGGAAAGCATTAAAGGCTCTAAATGTTTTATTTTATAACTGTAAGAAATTTGATTTAAAACCAAAAATATTATGCCAGTTATTTGATGCATTTGTAGGCTCAATCTTAGGATATGGATCTGAAATATGGGGGTACACAAAATCTAAAGAAATAGAAAGAATTCATTTAAAATTTTGCAAACGATTATTAAATGTAAGACCTAATACTTGTTCTGCTGCTGTTTATGGTGAATTAGGAAGATATCCATTATATGTGTCCCGTTATGTTAGAATAATTAAATTTTGGTGCAAGTTGAAAAACTCGGATAATATCATTTTAAATACAATGTATAGAGAAGGTGTAATTGATTGTAAAAGAGGGTGTAAAAATTGGGTCTCAAATGTGAAGAAGTTGTTATGTGATTATGGTTTTGCTGATATTTTTGATAGTGATAATTATATAGATCCTAAATTGTTTCTTCAAAAATTTAAAAGTAGAGTTATTGATACGTATAAACAAGAATGGGCCAGTATCCTAGATCGAAGTTCTGTTTTATGTAATTACAAACATTTTAAATCGTGTCTTAGTTACGAAAATTATCTTGACATTTTACCACGTAAATTTAGAATGTATTTTTGTCGATTAAGACTATCTGTTCATCCTCTCAAAATACAAACAGGAAGGTATGCCACTAATAACATTCCTCGTGAACAAAGATACTGTCAGTGCTGTAATGTTTTAGATATAGAGGATGAGTATCATTTCATATGTGTGTGTTCAAGTTTTGTAGATTTACGTAAAAAATATATAAAAAGTTACTATTATAACAGACCATCTATGTTTAAATTTACTGAATTATTGTGTATTAAAAATAAAAAAATATTAATAAATGTTTGCAAATATATCAAAGAAGCTTTAAAGCTAAGAAATTCAATTTTGAACTCTCAATTGTAGTTTATCCTCTCATGAATTTGGTGCTTGTAATTGTTATGTTTATATTTATTATAATGACTCGCCATACATATATTTATGTGATTATGTTGTATATATTATTCAATACATGTTAACAAGACGATGTACTTTGTATAAGTCTAGAAAATAAAATTTCTGTTCTGTTCTGTTCTTAAAAATTAAATTGTTCTTTAGTGCAAACTCTCTACCTTTGCGCTAGAATTCATCGTCGGTTATCCACGGTTTATTTGTCGTACCTGCATTGTATCATGTTCAGAATATATACCTTGGGCAACCAACGAAGGCTATAATTACAATTTGCTTTTAAATTATTTGCCATTTTAATACCTACAAATAAGGTGAAATATTTTCGCAATTCGATATCAATGAAAATTGCGAAATGTTCTTACAGTCTGTGCATGCTGAGAACAATCACAAAAAGATGAATAAGAACGGAATCCATACAGAACGTCCAGTACCACAAAATTGAAAATGCTGCAGGTTCGGTTTGATAGCCTGTTCGCAACCCCTGACACCGGCTTAAGCAGTTTAATTCAACATTTAAACATGTAATGGTAAAATTTTGACAAACGCCTATTCACCTTGTTAATAGAACAGACTAAAGTGGTAAGATCATAATCAAGCAAGTAAAGACCCCCTACGTACCGTAACACAAAACAGAACTAAGATTTAAGTACCGACAACACATTTGTAGATGATAAAGGTATACAGAAGTTGAGTTCAAAACAAAATGCCGTAATTCAATTCACTTATCTAAAAAGAAAGGATACTGAATTTTGAACAAAATTAGGGTGCATACTTTTTCCGATTGATCGTGTCCATTTCAATCAACATGTATGTGCAACTCCTGCATGTGCTAGCAAGTAATGTAAAACATTTAATTGTTAAATAAAATAATCAAAAACGCGTATCTATACGTTTTATTCGCTTGGAAATAGCGTCAGCGGCAATATCACTGAAATGGCGCCATAAATCATTTGAATTCCAATTTTGTTGTCATAAATACTGTGCTATAACTTATATCTATTTTGCCATTGTACTAATGTTGACATATTTCTGCCACAAAATAATAATGGCATTGACGTAAGGTGATTAAAGCGTAAATATTTGGTTGATCACTTAAAATTCGCATAAATTAAATGGTTAACACAGTAAGTAAGTAAGTAGTTAACCGATTAATTATAGCGTAAATAATTAAGTTAACGCATTAAGTAATTAGTAAACCGGTTAACGCATTAAGTAACTAGTTAATGACTTAGTTATCGCTAAATCAAGTGACATAAGCGTTAAATAACTAGTAAAGCACTTAATTATCGCGTAAATTATGCGGTAAATACGTTACGTGCCTAGCCAATTGCTTAATCATCGCGTAAAGTATGTGGTTAATGCGTTTAGTAACTAGTTAATTGCTTAATTGTCGCGTTAATTATGTGGTTTACATTGTCTGTAACTAATTACTATTGTGATCAAAATAATCATCTTAACTGGGAGAAATACATGATAATGCCGAGTCGACAATTGCCAGAACATCTAGATGTTAAGTGATCGGCGTACGATAACTAAATAACTATATAATAATAAATTATAATAGTGAGGGATCAACTAGTTAATTAATGTATGCATTAATGTCTTCATTAACACGACAATTATATGATTATCTGATGGCATAAATGCAAATACAGTTTCTATTGAGTTTGTTAACTTAAAGGCAATGCCTAAAAAATATTATTTTATTTTATGTAGATGATAAAAGAAGAGGAACGCAGCGAGATCAAAGATGAATAATATCTATTGCCATGATCGGACGGGGCATTGTTTTTACGCATTAACTAATTACTCACAACAGTAAATCGTTGACGATCAGCTCGGGAGTGTTAGACAGTATGGCACCGTGTGGCAAATCGATAACTTGTTATGTAAGACCAAAAAGGCAGACAGAGTTGAGATCTGTAATGCTGCTGTGAATGGGAGATTTGTTTACACGATAATTATTGAGTTAAAAATAGAAATAAATTGCATAAACTTGTGTTACACTTTTTAACACTTTAAAAAGGAACACTTTACGCTATGAATATAACTTAGGTTGTTATATTAATTGTAGCAGCATTTTATAAATTGTTGGATATTTATATCTGTTTGAGTCGTGAATCCGATATTGGTTTTTATGAGCAGTATGTGATAGTGCCGAAGATATGTACTGGTATATTTATAACGTGTCTTAATTCTAGGACAAGATACCACAATTTTTCTTCGGTACGTAATGAGAGTCCAGCACTGAACAATGGCCGGAATCTTGCCATTTGAGAGGTGTGCTACGCACCATGGTAACATCATCACGAAGTATTGCGCCGACCATGACGTCGTTTGCTGTGAAACTTGCCGTGTAGTTAAACACAGGTGAGACTATGATTTTTTACGTAAGTCTGGCATTAAAATCGATGTTATAAAAGCAGAATTGTTCGGCCATTTCCGTCATGCTTCGGTAAAATTCGATCTATTCAATATGTACTAGTAGTAAACATAAATTATGTGTGATGTCGGTATTTGATGACCATTTTGATTACTAGTCTTGTAATCGTAATTATACTCGTCTATAATGTGTTGTTGTCATAATTAATTTGGGTCAGCAATACTTTTTTCTCCTATATAAAGCTTAAAAACCTCTGATTGGATTTAATAACGCGGAAATTTGCATTATAATCGAATGTTATACTGATAAACTATTAAAAGGTCATAAATGAATCTTGATATCAATTACCAATTACAATGTATTTAAGTAAGTTATGTAATGTTTAATTCATCGTTTCTTGCATAACATTATATTATAGCACCCATTGTAAGATTTTTGATCAAGGAAATATCAAGTTTGCCCATAAACATGTGATAAAAGGGCAAATGTTGAAATTTTAAACAATATTCAAAATAGCTGAACATTAATTAAACACTGATTACTTTAAGTAAAAAGACAAAACTAACAGACAAAATAAAACCACACATACATACATTAAACTTACATTCTTACACCATTTTACCAACCATGTCCATGTATCTCCCAATATCTTAGAAATAAGGAATCTGCAATTTGCTGATAACCACCATGTTCAATTTTGTCGATGTTTCAATTATAATTCTGTTTACATTGGGTTATTATTAAAATCATCAATTATTTATTGTGCTGTTTCAAACAAACAATAGTACCAGTCAAGATGGTTCAAACAAACACTTTTACCTTGTATTAGCCGTTCTATTAAGAAATCCGGTTGTTTCAGCTGTTCTGTTTCAAATATACAAGTGTATAAGTTTAATTAATTGTCTGACACAAAAGATTTGATATCTGTACTAATGTTGATTTCCAGATCATGTACCCATGTTGACACTCTGCGGCATGTTGGTAGAGGTATCAAGGCAACCACAGAATACAAAACATCAAAAGACTCTTTAGATGACATTATTGTAAAGATGAGAGTGGAAAAAGATTTAAGAACAAAGAACCTAACGAATGTTAATCAGCAAAAAGAAAAACTATTAAAAGATGTTGACGTATTCCAGGATGAAATCATCGCAAAAATTAAAGACCTAGCAAAGTTGTCGAAGGAGCAAATTCGAGCCAAACATCAGGAGTATAAGAGACAATTAGAGAAAGACGAAGCCGCCCTGGATACTGTTATCATTTCTACAAGTAAAACTTTACGAAATCTTTCCGCTTATAGCGAGGCTCGTATCTTTGCAAATGTTAAGGCAACAGAAAAGGCTGTACAAGACGGCGACACGCTGTTAGAAAATATGTCTAATGAATGGTGTAAAAAAGAGATAAGATTTTCATTTAACCATATACTGAAGACAAACACAGTAAGCCTAGGACATATTGTAGATGGGGAACAAGATAACGAAGTCGGCGAAACAGGGCGAAATTAACGAATATTTTTGTTAAAATTGTGTGATAAGAAATAAATCAAATAAGTCGCGGTCTCTTGGGTGCCTAGAAGTGAAATAATTAACGTCATGTCATCGAACGACGTCTTGAGTGATTTAATTGTCAATTTGCAATGCCATGAATTTTGTCATAAACATGTTATGTGTCGTAACTTCTCTACATTCTGCTATATTACAAACACAGGGACTATATTTGTTAAAGCTTAAAGTCAAAAGTGCTACAGGTGATTTGGTGCATTTTATTTTCACAATAGAATGTACCACATGTATTAATTTAATTATTAACTAGCTACTTAACACATTGTGTGAAGGTCCGAGTTACAGGTGCGAATAGTTTAAAATATTAAACAAATGTGCTGTGATGTGAATATACAATGTATTATATACGAAAGGTTAATTGTTTATGATACCTAAAGAGATGTACAAACGGAACCGAGTAAACACGAGGAACCGTTTCCCTGTTGTTTGGTAAAGAGCTAGATGCTTAGCTAGATGACTGTAATAAAATAATCATTATTTATCAAGCACATTAAATGCACACGTTGTATGCTAAAAGATTCGGCAGTGTTGATTTCTAACATATAACACAAGTATTAATACATTGTACAAGGTTTGACCTACAGGTTCGCGTGATAAAATAAAAAAGGGCGATATAGTATTATCAAATCTATATCTTTGAAATCCAATATATTTCCATTTTACACAATTTCATTCATTTGAAGATTGTTTTTTTACAAATAACAAAAGTTTAAAACTTTGCAGTATATTGATAGCGGCGCAAGTCACGGCGTCATTTCGACGTCAACTCGTGTTTCTTCGAAATTCTCACTTGACATACAGGCTAAGTTGTCATTCATTCCGTCCTTGATAAATAGCCTTGACACCAAGCGTACCGGATCTGTTATCATTCCAAGAATGTCTGACATATTCTGTTTGCAGAACACTCACTGATCCTGTCCGAAACGCAAGCCGTTCGCCCGTCATATCGTTTTATTATTGTAACTGTCTGTGCCAAGTATTTTTAAAATCCCTTGAACTATGAAGAAGTTATAGATCAGACACAAAATATACCCTATAACAGACTATGTTTATCTTTGACCTCTAAGTGTGACCTTGGAGGTAAGGACCCATGTTTTGCGCTTGATATATCGTCTTATTATTGTGGTTATTTGTGCGAAGTAGTTATGATCTATGAAAAAGTTATGGACTGGACACAAAATATACTGTAAAAGACTATGTAGTCTTTGACCTCTAAGTATGACCTTGACCTTGCAGGTAAGGACACAGAGGTTGCGTATGACATATCATCTTATTATTGTGACTATTTGTGCCAAATATTTTTTCAAAATCCCTTGATCTATGAAGAAGTTATGGACCGGACACAAAATAAACCATTTAACAGACTATGTTAATTTTTGACCTCTAAGTGTGACCTTGACCTTGGAGGTAGGGGTGCAGGTGTTGTACTTTGCATATCGTCTTATTATTGTAACTATTTGTGCCAAGTTATTTAAAAATCCCTTGGACTATGAAAAAGTTATGGACCGGGCACAAAATATACCACATAACAGACTATGTTAATCTTTGACCTCCAAGTGTGACCTTGACCTTGAAGATAGGTGAATGGTTGTTGCGCATTGTCTCATTATTGTGAACAATTGTGGCAAGTATTTACAAAATCCTTTTAAAGATAAAAAAAGTTATGGACCGGACACGACATATACTCTCAAATAGACAATGTTGACCTTGAATGAGCAAGTGCGACCTTGACCTTTGAGGTAGGGGTCTGGTAATTGCGCATGACACATCGTCTTATTATAACAAGCATTTATGCCCAGTTATTTCAAATTCCTTTAATAAATGACAAAGTTGTGGACCGGACACGATAGTGTGACGGACGGACGGATGGACAGACGGACGGACGCAGTCACAGGGCAGGACGTCCGTGCCAACATTTGGGGTTTATGTGCTTTTTCTTTGATCTTTATGTGGCATTTTTACCCATTAACCAGTAAAATTACCATATAAACCAGTCGGTTTATGGGATTTCCTTCTTTTCTTAACTAAAATTATGGACGGAATGAAGCTCATAAGCCATTGGATGTACAGACGGATGGACAGACGGACGGAGCCTATTTCTATATCCCCCTTTTTCTTCAAAAAGGCGGGGGACAATAAACGCCCATGACATTTGCAAACCGTAAATATATATTCATATCGTCATTGCAAGTTGCTTTAATGATAAAAAGAGAAACGCATAACTTGGATGGGACTAAAATGTACCTTTCTGTCACAGGTTATATTCCGTTTTCCTTGAACGTCGAATAACGTCATCTTTGTTTTCTTTTTTGTTAAAGTAAATGTAGTATTTTAAGTAGAAATTGCCGTGTGGCTTGACATATCGATATTAAATACGCATGGCTTGTACTCTTAAGAACGTTTCGGGAGTTTTCATATAGACATATAGGCAAAATTAAAACTGTTCTATAGAATTCCTTAAAAAGTCTTCCCGTACATTTAATCAATGATGTTATATTTTCGATCCTTGAAGATCGTTCAGCACGGCATTATTGTTGTGTATACATGTTATGTGGTACTTTTAGTTTCTTCTATTCGGCCTTTTTCCATTTGGGTGGTTCCAGTGTTCCTACTTGAATACTGTATTATAGTATAATCACCCTTAGGATATGTTGCATGCTTTTTAAATTTGTCTTTTGACCGTCTTATCTGTGATATGCAGGCTTCATAACCTCCGATCCCCTTTCAAAATTCCATTTTATTTAGTTCCGCCCATTGTTTTCTCGTTTAGGGCACAAGCATTTTTTTACCTGGGGACCATACGCCGCTTTTCATGGAATGACACTACTGTGTCACATTGAAGGTTCCATGATAACTGCCGTATGAACACATCTGCGGATGTTTCTAAATTTCACCATTTTCGTGTTAAATGTTGAATTCTGCTTAAGCCGGTGCTAGGGGGCGTGGACGGTAACTTGCACTTTCCAGTACCGTCCATGAACAGGCTCAATCAAACCGAGTCTGCAACATTTTCAATTTTGACGTGTTGGACTTTCTTTAGGGATTCTGTTTTTCTCTATTTTGGCATGTTGTTAGAATATGATAACAAACATTTTAAGCGGGAAAAAAATGGGGTCACCGTTCTTATTTTTGAGTAACCAAGTTAAGTGACCACAGGGGCGGTGCCAATATTGACCAAAGGTGCATGATTTTTCATCAGGTTAGCGGAGTTTCATAGTGAAATGCTATTTGCCAAAAACATGTATCTATGCTCTTAATTATTTAAGTTTCACACAGAAACTTAAATATATTTTCCTATACAACTCTATATTAACTAAGTGACCCCAGAGGTGGGGTTAATATTTGCACAAGGGGCCTGATTAGTATAAATTTTTTAAAGTTAAAGAAAGAGAAAAACACAAGTAAATTTTCTTAATGATTTTAATAAGCACATAGTAAGAGAATTGTGTACAAATAACATGCACTCTCTAATTTTTTTTACTAGATTTATAACATCATATATTACATACGGAGTACATAATTTCCTTAACAAAAAATTGACAACAATTCCATTAATACATACATATTCCAAATATTCATTACATCATTTTAACATCTGCTTTTCATGTTTGTATTTTAAAGTTACATTGACCTTGTAAAGACTGTATGAGCATTTTCCAGCATTACGGTAATACATGTGGTAGAAGACCTCAGATACCCCACTGCGTCTTATTTCAAATTAATTCAGAATTATTTCAGAATCAAACACATATACTCAAGACTACAGGTACTATCATTCTGTATGATAGGTAGATAACTTCCTCATAAAAATAACCCCCTAACCATCTCCTTGGCAAGAATTTAACAAAGCAGCATGAAGGGTGAATGTCTGAAGTCAGTGAACATCACTCAGATATCATCAATTTCATGTAATTGAGAGGTCCCTACTTGTACCTTTTATTTGAATAACATTAGGTTTAATCTGGGACAAAAAAAATTGTCCCAGATTTAACTACAAAACTTTGACATTTGCACTTTTGTTAACTGTTAACAAATAAGTTGTGGGGAAATTCTTATTGTAATCCACTAATCTGATAATAGAATTAGACAGGTAAGGTATCTATGCATAAGCTGTGTTCAAATAAAAATGCATGTGTAGATTGACATTTGTCATTACACAAAATAACTTTCAACACAGGAAAGTTGAGGTTTTGCACATTTTATGTAATAAAATAGCCTTCAATTGAATTATATATAGCACTTTCAGATACATGGCAACAATAAGCATCAATTATAATTAATTGCATGTTGTTATAACCAGTAATTAATCTAACTATTTCATAGTTGCAACAAAATATAATAAAACATAAGAAAATCAATTGTAAGGCAAGGGTGAACAAAACAGCATCTAAACACATCATTTTAGCAAAAGCATACTCACATTTTGTTACAGCACAGTAAGGGTTAAATTATTTCCATTGTCTACATTAGAACATAGTTATGTAGAACTATTAAGACATTTTATATACAATAGCAGCAGCACTCCAGGAAAAAGACACAAATCTCAGACTAACTTTTAATATAATATAACAACCATTGTTTGAGCCTCGTTTTCAACTGTTCCTTAAAGAAATAAAAATCAAGAAAGTTGGCCCCATTTATGCCAAAATTGACAAAAAAATGTTCCATAAAGAAAACAAGGCTTTTCTTTCTTACAGAAAATGCGGGTTTGTGTACATCAAAACATACTATTACAACTTTTTCTTTGTGAAACTATTTGTACTTGAGAAATGCGTTGTTAACAGAAGTTATTACATCTTCAAACATGAACACTTGGTAACGCTCGTCTGTTAAAATTTATGTTAAAAAGGGGGATAACTTCAAAAACTATTGCTCTCAGAATTATGCGCTTTGTCATGATAAGCAAGTATTCAAACTTTTAAAATGTCTGAATAATGGGCTGCACTAATGTTTTTGCAGGACAACAATGAGAACAACAACGCTGCAGTAATGATAATAGGTCCATTTTTTCTTTAAAACAGACGAGCTAATATTGACATGATGTGCAGGTTAAGTTCTATCAATTTAAATAAAAACACATAATAAATCATACATATATCCATTTCATTTCAAAATCAACAGACTGCAACATTGTACTGTTCCTCACTTTATGATTCTACACAATACACATGCAAAGAAATCTGGTGCTTTTCTGTATGTATATAATACATGTAATGTACCTCAAACAAAGGCGTATTACATCGAAACTTGGAAAGTACCAGGGATTTTTTTGGCTTATTTTATAGCCATTATTGGGTCATATTCCCAATTGAAAATAGTATATTATTTTCTCAATTCACAGGAAAAAATTTCACAATTGAAAGTTAAATAATAAAAATATTGAATAAAAATTATAAAATCTTTGCAAATAAGGGCTTCTTCACTGTAATAGTGCTTAAATGTTTGAAGATGCCATCCTAGACAGTAATTGTTTGCATCCATTTAATCACTGCAAAATTTCAGTTAGCATCTTTCCATTCTATTGTAAACAATATCTATATTTCTGTAAACCTCTTGGAATTTTTTTTTTTTTTTTGAAGGAATTTTTGTAGAAGTTAGTAAATTTATTTTATTTATATATACTATATATATAAAGTAAATATTTTAAAATAGGCGAGCAGGCATTAAAAATTCAAAAGTCTACAGTTAAAGGAGGGTTCCATCAGGGACCTGACATTTTGTACCTAAAGGAGCACTGTGGATCAATAATATTGTATTTAAATGATAATAAAATTCCTCACAGACCAACACTGTTTCTTTATCATACACATCTTAACAACTTAAATAATCATGATTTTACTACAGAAAAAACAAGATATGTTTGTAAAACATGTATGCCCCCTATCAGCAGCCAATGAGTCATGTGATAAGGTTATTATGCATGACTTCTGACCCAGTGATCAAACAATTAATAAGGGTTATCAAGTATAACTGGTCATGACCTTAACCTATGACCCCTTAACCCCAAAATCCAATAGGGGTCATCTGCTGGTCACGACCAATCATCATACAAAGTTTGAAGTTCCTAGGCCTAAGCTTTTTAAGTTAATTGATCGGAAACCGTTATAACATACAAGCGTCAATGTGACCTTGACCTTTGACCCCTTGACCCCAAATCAATAGGTCATCTGCTGTCATGACCAATCACCATACCATGTTTGAAGTTCCAAGGCCAAAGGTTCTTAAGTTATTGATTTGAAAGCATTTTTACCTACAAGGTCAATGTGACCTTGCCCTTTGACCCTTAACCTCAATATCAATAGGGGTCATCTACTGGTCATGACCAATCATCATACCAAGTTTGAAGTTCCTAGGCCTAAGGTTCTTTAGTTATTGATCGGAAACCGTTTTTACCTAAGAGGTCAATGTGACCTTGACCTTTGACCCCTTGACCCCAAAATCAATAGGGGTCATCTACTGATCATGACCAATCACAATATCAAGTTTGAAGTCCCTAGGCCTAAGGGTTCATTAGTAATTGATTGGAAACCGTTTTTACCTACAAAGTCAATGTGACCTTGACCTTTGACCCCTTAACCCCAAAATCAATAGGGGTCATCTGCTGGTCATGACCAATCACCATACTAAGTTTGAAGTTCCTAGGCCTAAGGATTCTTTGGTTCTTTTGTTATTGATCGGAAATCGTTTTTACCTTCAAGGTCAATGTGACCTTGACCTTTGACCCCTTAACCCCAAAATCAATAGGGGTCATCTGCTGATCATGACCAATCACAATATCAAGTTTGAAGTCCCTAGGCCTATGGGTTCTTTTGTTATTGATCAGAAACCGTTTTTACCAAAGAGGTCAATGTGACCTTGACCTTTGACCCCTTGACCCCAAAATCAATAGGGGTCATCTACTGATCATGACCAATCACCATACCAAGTTTGAAGTTCCTAGGCCTTTAAAGTTCTTAAGTTATTGATCGGAAACCGTTATTGCTTACAAGGTCAATGTGACCTTGACCTTTAACCCCTTGACCCCAAAATCAATAGGGGTCATCTACTGATCATGAAAAATCACTATACCAAGTTTGAAGTTCCTAGGCCTTAGTTCTTTAGTTATTGATCGGAATCCGTTTTTGCTTACAAGGTCAATGTGACCTTGACCTTTGACCCCTTGACCCCAAAATCAATAGGGATCATCTACTGATCATGACCAAACACCATATCAAGTTTGAAGTTCCTAGGCCTTAAGGTTCTTTAGTTATTGATCGGAAACCGTTTTTGCTTACAAGGTCAATGTGACCTTGACCTTTGACCCCTTGACCCCAAAATCAATAGGGATCATCTACTGATCATGACCAATCACCATATCAAGTTTGAAGTTCCTAGGCCTAAGGGTTCTTTAGTTATTGATCGGAAACCGTTTTTGCTTACAAGGTCAATGTGACCTTGACCTTTGACCCCTTGACCCCAAAATCAATAGGGGTCATCTACTGGTCATGACCAATCACCATACCAAGTTTGAAGTTCCTAGGCCTTAAGTTTCTTTAGTTATTGATCGGAAACCGTTTTTGCTTACAAGGTCAATGTGACCTTGACCTTTGACCCCTTGACCCCAAAATCAATAGGGGTCATCTACTGGTCATGACCAATCACCATACCAATTTTGAAGTTCCTAGGCCTAAGGGTTCTTTAGTTATCACTCGGAAACCATTTGGTCTACGGACCGACAAGTGCAAAGCAATATACCCCCTTTTCTTCGAAATGGGGGCATAATAAATTAACAAAACACTTAAGACTTATTCCCCACTCAGAACTGTTCATTATCAATATCATAATCGTTTATAGAATATTTTTAGAATATAAGAACTTTTCAAAAAAAAATTATTATTTCAAATTTTCTATTCTTTTACTACACACAACAAAATTTTACACAACTCTTTTGTTTTGACACAGAAGTATATGTGTCATATCTGTCCCATATTGCTACAAACTTTTTTAAAAGTTATCACTCTTTACAAAAAAACATCACATTTACGTAAATGTACATCTCAAAACAATGTTCCCAGTCCAGTAGAAGATGCGAAAGCCATTACAGAATACGTAGCTTGACGTGTTTCTAAGAGCAGTCGAGCTTCCTCTATCCAGTCGGCAGCGACGCGTCTCGACTCCCCATGAAGCTGATTCATGAATTTCAGGGCTTGCTCGATGTCGTTCCTCTCCAGCCAGTATTCAGCATGGCTACAAATTTGAAACGTGTCAAAGTTATCTAAATCTACACTACTTCCATGTTCCTTTGCATAGACTCGTGAAACTATAAACTTTGACTGAATGTAAGATAGGAAGTATTTGGAAAGCTTTCCGCCAGTTTCATCGATTAACGCAACCTTTTTCGCTACACTACTAACTTTTTTAAACCTGTCTTTCAAATTTTCCTCAGTAAAAACACCTCGTTTCAACGCCTTTTCCGGGATGGTTTCCAGAATAAGACACACAAATGGGTTATTCTTAGCCGCAAAGAATACCTTGTCCACTTCCTTTTCGAGAGGTTTAAGCTGTTCCTCCCAAGTTTTCCCTTCTTCGTTACCAAGACGGAGAGCACCATTCAATGAAACACATGCCAGCCATAACGCTTGGGCTTCTTTCGCTTGCATTTCAGACTCGGCACGTGCTAAAATACAAAGTTATTTTCACATCTCATGTAAAATGCTTACCAATCAAACATTAAATATTTATTTAAACTACAAATTCTGGTACAAATATAATTTAAATCCCATTTTTTCAATCACTAAGAGCAGAAATAAGAGAAGTCAATTGGCTTTGCTATTCTCAAGCTGAATTTATCTAAATTGTGAATATATTTCTTAACTGTAAATTGATAGCTAAATTTATGATCATGAAATAAACCAACTGAATTTTACAATTACAAGAGAGGGAATTCTAACCTGCAATAGCCGCCTCAATCCCATTAATTCGGCCTGATAGTTCTCCTTCAAATCTTTTCCTGTCCTCGAGTATACGCATGTGAAGTTCTTGTTCAAATGTCCGTAACAGACGCTCCTCTTGTTGCCTGATAATCTCCTGCAGGTGTTCACTGTGTGCCGCGGTCTGACGTGCCAGGTTACGTCGTAGCTCTATCTCAAACTGTACCTGAGCATCAGCCTCCTGATATAGAATATAAAACAAGCAATGACAAACATTGGTCAGAAATGCTATAACTTGCTTTGTATTGAAAGAGAGTAGAGTGGTGGGGGTTTTGAAAGGATTAAAACTCATTTATATAGGCATTATTATTTGATTCATTTTTTTTTGCTATTTTTTTAAATTTTGTGTGAGTGTGTGTGTGTGTGTGTTTGGGAGTTTTATGTCACAACAACACCGTATAGATCATAAGAGTGACTTTCCAGCTTTACTGTTTGATGAAGATCTCATGTGACCCTCTGTACATTATTTCAGGCCCTAACAGACACCTGAGTAGAACAACTGTTCTGGATAGTTTACATAGATAGTGATACATATAGAATGTGACCACGCTTGTGTGGCTCGAATCTACAGTAGTAGGAGGCAAATGGTTTGAAGTAAACAACTTTAACCACTCTGCCAAAGATGCCCCTTCAGTGAAATGGAGTTCAATATAAATTGTAGAAACACTACAGGATGTTTGAACACTAACCCATTTATCTTTCATGACTGCAAATTCATCCAACAGTTTCTGACGTTCCTGCTGCACTCTAGCTTGCGTAATTAGCTCGTCTTCATCTCTTTGCTCTGCCAACGCCATCTGTATTCTCTGCATACAAAAAAATAATCATGAAATCAGTTACACATAGCAAATGTTATTATCCAATATAATCACAAGCTGTCCAATTCTCGAATCTCAGTGCTTGTCAGTAATAGAAGAGTCAGGATAAAATAGAAACTAACAAGGGTAGATTTTCTTAAAAGTACATGTTATAGCCTTGGAAATGAGGCCAACATTTTTTATTAAATGTTTTACGGGACATTTTAAAAAAAAATTGGGTCGGGGGGCATAAATAAAAATAAAAATAAAATTCAATTTTTTTATCAGTCGACCACAAAATAAAAATAAAATGATAAAAGAGGTTAAAAAATTTTATTTTCAAACATTTTTTAAGACTCCAAAAACAGATTTTTTGTTCATAAAATCAATGATTTTATAGTTTTGAAGTATTTTCGACATAATTTTAAACAAAATAATTGAAAAAAATGGGTCAAAGACAGAAAAGGCCGGGTTGCATTTGTACACCAAATATCATGAGGCTGATTTGTTACGAAAAATTTTTTCCATTGACCCATTAATGTCGAAAATTTAATTCAGTTAGTAAACAGGTAGTGGATTAGCTACACACCTAAAATCGAATCCCACAGTATGGGACCATGTGTCAATGCTGTATGCCAAATATCAAGAGGCTGTGATTAGTAGTTTCTGAGAAAACTGTTACGTTACCATTGACCATTAATGTCGAAAAATCTAACTAATTTAACTAAGTGGATAAACAGGAAGTGGATGAGCGACAGACCTGAAATCAAATCCCACAGTATAGGACCATGTGTCAATGCTGTACGCCAAATATCAAGAGGCTGTGATAAGTAGTTGCTGAGAAAACTGTTACGAAAATTTCCTACCATTGACCATTAATGTCAAAAAATCTAACTAATTTAACTAAGTGGATAAACAGGAAGTGGATGAGCGACAGACCTGAAATCAAATCCCACAGTATGGGATCATGTATCAATGCTGTATGCCAAATATCAAGAGGCTGTGATAAGTAGTTGCTGAGAAAACTGTTACGAAAATTTCATACCATTGACCATTAATGCTAAAAAATCGAACTAATTTAACTAAGTGGATAAACAGGAAGTGGATGAGCGACAGACCTGAAATCCAATCCCACGGTATGGGACCATGTATCAATGCTGCATGCCAAATATCAAGAGGCTGTGATAAGTAGTTGCTGAGAAAACTGTTACGAAAATTTCATACCATTGACCATTAATGTCGAAAAATCTAACTAATTTAAATAAGTGGATAAACAGGAAGTGGATGAGCGACAGACCTAAAATCAAATCCCACAGTATGGGACCATGTATAAATGCTGTATGCCAAATATCAAGAAGCTGTGATACATAGTTGTTGAGAAAACTGTTACGAAAATTTTTTCCCCGCCCGCCCGCCGCCCACCGCCCGACATTCACCATACTATAACCCGGGTTTGCACCTGTGCAACCCGGCCAAAAATGCTTTAAGTCACTTTTGCTTTTGTTTTTAGTAGCTGCTGATCTAGTTTCTATTAGTTTTGTCTTTTCACATTTAGGGCAAACATGCCACACAACTCCAAATTCATTGTTTAGTCCCTTCATTTAAAGAGTATCCAAACAAGGTCGTATTGCCACTCTCAAGCTTTACTGGCACAAGCTTGCCACCAGGTAGAACCACCAACCTATTATAAGCTTACTGATAGTTTCCTCACGGGAATCCAAATTAACTTCCTGACAGGATTCTAATCGACAACACCACACAGGGAGAGTGGTACAAACATAATAATGTACAATGTCAGTTTCACAAGGTAAATTGAATCAACAACTTCAAATTATTTTTAAGAGAGTAAGTTCTGTATGTGCAAAAATTTTGCAATTTCTGAAAATTATTCGTATTTCAAATGATTAGTAAAATGAAAGCAATTGACAGTAAATAGAAAATCAAATGGCATACATTGTTACAAAATCAGAGTTTTCTGCTGAGAATTTATTATAGGCAGTTTTTACAGAAATGTCAAAGAGGACTTATGCTCATAATCTTACATTGAAAAAAAGACCAATTTTCTCAATATTGATCTAGTAAAAAACTTCTAAAAACACACATTACTACCTGTCTGCTGTCATGATACTAATATTAACTTAATAAATGTTATAGATGACTGTGTTCAATTATAAACAAGCCTTGTATTTCAACAAGACAACAACAAAAATCTGTCCACCAAACTTTCAGGAATTTATTTTCATATAATAAATTAATCAATTGTTTTCAAAGATTCATATTAAAAAGTTTTCACTATCAATTTGCTTACAATAAATCTACCATGTAAGTAGACCTCATTTGTTACTCGTTTTTCTCAATCTGTCTAGGTAAATTCAACTTATATTTCTTTATAAAACCTATACATGAGTCTAAATTTTAATGTGTGGAAGTATTCTCATGGTACGTGGTAAATCGAGTAATATTTCATTTTGACACCAAAGTCGATCAACGGCTTTGATCCCGTGCCCATTTAATTTTTTACAACTGTTCTGACAGTGAAGGTAATTCAAATCAACTTATGCAATGGATGTTAATTACCAGTCGTGCTTTCTAACAGCTTTACAGGCTATCATATTTGATTAAATGCTCTAATATTTATTACTCAAATTGCCATAGTTGTATTGAAAACGGGTTTTGAAAAAAGCGAACTTCCGTGACCCGGTGTCGCGTGATATTCACACGTGTAAATTTATTACAACCCAAGCTTGTAAAGTTATTGCCCTTCCCTTTTGTTACGCCTTTTGTAACATTCATGTAAACATCAAAGGGCCTAACTTTTGTCAGTTGTTTTAAGCAAGTTCCGAGGTTCTACCGTTAATAACTAAAGTAAAAAATGTGTTCCATACCAAGTAACTTTTAATTTTGACAGAAGTGGGTAAGAGAGGTCGGCGGGCAAAATGAAAATAAAAGTTCTTAAATTTACTTTTATTTTTATTTGATTTTCTCTAAAAATACGGTCGGCGGTCCCGTAAAACATTTTATAAAAAAATGTTGGCCTGATATACAAATTATGCTCCCAAGTTTGTACCTACGGATTAGCTGGGAAAATACCACATATTCTTAATTCCGGAGTTTGTCTATTAAAATCTATGCTAGTTATAGGCCTTGTAGAGTGACCTACAATTATAATCTCAATGTATGAAGTTTCCAGAGAACAACTTCAGTGATTCGTGAGATATGTAACTTTAACCAAGTCTTATGCCGAACCTCAAGTAAGTAGGATAGCCCCACTAATCTTTGAATATATGAGATAAAAAATCACAACATTTCTATTTCTTAAACAGAGAGAATTCAAGGGTTTCAATGGCTGCTAAACAAAGCAATAAACAAGCCATACCTGTCCTTCCATTGCCAGTAATTCTGCTGTCTGTTTCTGAAGCTGTTCCACACGTCTATGAGCATGTGCTAACAATGCATTCAATTCATCCTCACTTAACTTAGGACCTGAAATATTACAATAGAGATCACAAGTTTACTGAAATTTCCAAGGTTTATTGTGACACAAAAAAAAATATAGAAAAAAATATCCAAGGACCCCCAAATAATCAATATTTTGGCTGCTTAGATACCTCTGTGGGTCATTTTGTCAGCAAGTTAAGGAGTTTTAAGTTGAGATATCAAGTTGATTTTAAAAGTTATGCTATGGTCAAAAAACGAAATATAAATAAAAGGGCAATAACTCAAAAATAATGCAAAACAAAAAAATGGCTCTTTAAATAAAAGTAAAACAATTCTTTTATATACAATCTAAGCATCAATGACCTTGTTTAAGACGATACCTTATTTAAATGACATTCTCTAGCAAAAGGCAAAGACATTTTGTAGGTATATTACCTTTTTTTCTTCAATTTCACAAGTGTGGCCAACAAAGAAATAAGCTAAGAAAAGTAAAAAAAGATTCAGGATTCAAGCAATAATTTACATATGTAATATCTCTACTGCAATACTTATGCAATAAGGGCAAATTAGCATATTTTGACCTCTTTTTGATATTCCATGTGGACTGAAAGTGCTGTTTGCAATATGTAAATTTGTTTTCTTAGTTCACACTAGTATTCTACTTTTAAAAATATATCCAAATTTTTCATGAAAATTAGCATGAATCTGGAGGCATGCTTTTTTAAAGGTCCATATCAACCAATATAAAGCTGTACCAGTACCACCAGTACAGAGCCAGTAGAGATACTAAGAAAATCTTAGTAGTTTGACCACCCTTGTAACTGATGGCTGAACAACTTCAAAAATTTTGGGCATTGGCTTGGTCCATTCAGGAAAATAAGCTGTGTGCAGGTAAATTCATATATGATCAGCTGATTCACTCACCTTTGCCAATTTTAACATCTGGCGTAATGCTTTCCATTTCTTTCTTAAACTGGGTCCTGGCTTTATCAACCAGATCTTTATATTTAGAAATAACTCTGGACTCTGATTCCACTTTAGATACCTGAAATAATAATGACATCAAAACCTTTTCCAATTCTTAGCATTTATATATGAAGTGCCTCAAAAATAAAACAAATGACACATTTTTATGGCATTCATGCAACATCTAAATAATTACATCAATTTTAATTGAAGCCAATGACTTTAACCAAAGGCAATGATGTGAAGAGAGAAAACTATAAAATTGGAATTTTAACAGAAAAGAAGTAAACTGTCTCATTGTAAAATATAACTCATGGATTCTCAAACAGAAATCTCATACATGTCTAGTACTTGGCAATCACTGACAGTTGTATTTATATTTATGGAACTAAATTGGTATTATTTTTGTTTTACATATATTTCTAAACCAGAAAAGAAGAAAGCTGTCTCATTATAAAATATAACTCATGGATTCTCAAAGAGAAATCTCATACATGTCTAGTACTTGGTAATCACTGACAGTTATATTTATGGAACAAAAAAGGTATTATTTTTGTTTTGCATAATTCTAGGGCAGAAAAGAAGAAAGCTGTCTCATTGAAAAATGTTATCCATTGATTCTCAAAGAGAAATCTCATACATGTCTAGTACTTGGTAATCACCAACAGTTGTATTTATGGAATAAAATGGGTATTATTTTTGTCTTGCATAATTCTAGGGCATAAAAGAAGAAAGCTGTCTCATTGTAAAATGTTACTCATGGATTCTTAAAGAGAAATCTCATACATGTCTAGTACTTGGTAATCACTGACAGTTATATTTATGGAACAAAAAAGGTATTATTTTTGTTTTGCATAATTCTAGGGCAGAAAAGAAGAAAGCTGTCTCATTGAAAAATATTATCCATTGATTCTCAAAGAGAAATTTCATACATATCTAGTACTTGATAATCACTGACAGTTATATTTATGGAACAAAATGGGTATTATTTTTGTTTTGCATAATTCTTGGGCAGAAAAGAAGAAAGCTGTCTCATTGAAAAATGTTATTCATGGATTCTCAAAGAGAAATTTCATACATATCTAGTACTTGGTAATCACTGACAGTTATATTTATGGAACAAAATAGGTATTATTTTTGTTTTGCATTATTCTAGGGCAGAAAAGAAGAAAGCTGTCTCATTATAAAATCTAACTCATGGATTCTCAAAGAGAAATCTCATACATGTCTAGTACTTGGTAATCACTGACAGTTATATTTATGGAACAAAATTGGTATTATTTTTGTTTTGCATAATTCTAGAGCAGAAAAGAAGTTAGCTGTCTCATTGTAAAATGTTACTCATGGATTCTCAAAGAGAAATCTCATACATGTCTAGTACTTGGTAATCACTGACAGTTATATTTATGGAACAAAATAGGTATTATTTTTGTTTTGCATTATTCTAGGGCAGAAAAGAAGTTAGCTGTCTCATTGTAAAATGTTACTCATGGATTCTCAAAGAGAAATCTCATACATGTCTAGTACTTGGTAATCACTGACAGTTATATTTATGGAACAAAATAGGTATTATTTTTGTTTTGCATTATTCTAGGGCAGAAAAGAAGAAAGCTGTCTCATTGAAAAATGTTACTCATGGATTCTCAAAGAGAAATCTCATACATGTCTAGTACTTGGTAATCACTGACAGTTATATTTATGGAACAAAATAGGTATTATTTTTGTTTTGCATAATTCTAGAGCAGAAAAGAAGAAAGCTGTCTCATTGTAAAATGTTACTCATGGATTCTCAAAGAGAAATCTCATACATGTCTAGTACTTGGTAATCACTGACAGTTATATTTATGGAACAAAATAGGTATTATTTTTGTTTTGCATTATTCTAGAGCAGAAAAGAAGAAAGCTGTCTCATTGTAAAATGTTACTCATGGATTCTCAAAGAGAAATCTCATACATGTCTAGTACTTGGTAATCACTGACAGTTATATTTATGGAACAAAATAGGTATTATTTTTGTTTTGCATAATTCTAGAGCAGAAAAGAAGAAAGCTGCCTCATTGTAAAATGTTACTCATGGATTCTCAAAGAGAAATCTCATACATGTCTAGTACTTGGTAATCACTGACAGTTATATTTTATGGAACAAAATGGTATTATTTTTGTTTTGCATTATTCTAGGGCAGAAAAGAAGAAAGCTGTCTCATTGAAAAATGTTACTCATGGATTCTCAAAGAGAAATCTCATACATGTCTAGTACTTGGTAATCACTGACAGTTATATTTATGGAACAAAAATAGGTATAATTTTTTTTAAGAATATAATTCTAAAGCAGAAAAGAAGAAAGCTGTCTCATTGTAAAATGTTACTCATGGATTCTCAAAGAGAAATCTCATACATGTCTAGTACTTGGTAATCACTAACAGTTATATTTATGGAACAAAATTGGTATTATTTTTGTTTTGCATTATTCTAGGGCAGAAAAGAAGAAAACTGTCTCATTGTGAAATGTTACTCATGGATTCTCAAAGAGAAATCTCATTCATGTCTAGTACTTGGTAATCACTGTCAGTTATATTTTTGGAACAAAATTGGTATTATTTTTGTTTTGCATTATTCTAGGGCAGAAAAGAAGAAAACTGTCTCATTGAAAAATGTTATTCATGGATTCTCAAAGAGAAATCTCATACATGTCTAGTACTTGGTAATCACTGACAGTTATATTTTTGGAACAAAATTGGTATTATTTTTGGTTTGCATTATTCTAGGGCAGAAAAGAAGAAAACTGTCTCATTGTGAAATGTTACTCATGGATTCTCAAAGAGAAATCTCATACATGTCTAGTACTTGGTAATCACTGACAGTTATATTTATGGAACAAAATATGTATTATTTTTGTTTTGCATAATTCTAGAGCAGAAAAGAAGAAAGCTCTAACATTGTAAAATGTTACTCATGGATTCTCAAAGAGAAATCTCATACATGTCTAGTACTTGGTAATCACTGACAGTTATATTTTTGGAACAAAATTGGTATTATTTTTGTTTTGCATTATTCTAGGGCAGAAAAGAAGAAAACTGTCTCATTGTGAAATGTTACTCATGGATTCTCAAAGAGAAATCTCATACATGTCTAGTACTTGGTAATCACTGACAGTTATATTAATGGAACAAAATTGGTATTATTTTTGTTTTGCATTATTCTAGGGCAGAAAAGAAGAAAACTGTCTCATTGTGAAATGTTACTCATGGATTCTCAAAGAGAAATCTCATACATGTCTAGTACTTGGTTATCACTGACAGTTATATTAATGGAACAAAATAGGTATAGATGACGTCATATTGAGGAAGGAAGGTGGAAATGTAAAGTGTATAATCTACAAGCAGAAAAAACAGTAACTGTCTTGCAGTAAAATATTACTCTTGGAATCTCAAACTGGAACAGAATTTCTGAGGGAAGAAAATGGGTATAATTTTAGATTAACTTCACAACTGTCTCATTGTAAAATGTTACTCATGGATTCCCAGAGAAATCTCATACATGTCTAGTACTTGGACATCATTGACAGTATAGATAAAATGGACATTATACCACATTTTGCACAAGCTGATGTTAAGCAATGAAAAGTCATTATAGATATTTTTGTAAACTTTCCTTTAATTTTTAATTTAAATCTTTTGAATAGGTGCAAAAGAACTCTGTAAGCTTGAATTAGGAACTGTCTAAGACAGTTACAAGGATTTCTTTGTCAGACTTTCCAAAACTAGAAAGCAACAGTATGAAGTCTGATTGAGTTGCAAAGAAGGTCAGGCTTTTCTGATACTATGAAGGTTGTTAATGATAGCAATTTATATTAACATTAGCACATCATCCTGTCAGTAAACTAATTCAAAATAGTTAAACAACATTATTTCAAGAATGGCCCGGGGATTAAACTAACATACTGACCTCATTAACTTTCTGGCTAAATGCTGTTGTGAGTTGAGTGAGCTTCTCATTAGCGGCAGCAAGAGCTTTATTTTGCTTTGTATTAACACTTTCTCTACCACTATCTATAGCCTGTCGCAACTTGTCTAAATTCTCCCTAAAAAACAACAAACAAAACAAACACACCTGTATAAATATAATTTACCTAAGGTGAAATTAAATCTCTTAAGACATTCCTTTAAGCAAGAAAACTGTGCTAAACTTCTTATCAAACTCTTAAACCCCCTTTAGATATTTGTTTCTACATGTCATCATATTTTTGCCTCTTTACACCATAACGTGTTATGAGCTTTTAACCTGTCTTCCTTTAAGATGTTGCTTCTGGTAATTTTATTGTGTTCCGCACTGATGAAGGCATTTAGTCGAAACGTCTGCAATTACTGAATGTTCATGTTTGTGTGGAATTTAATAACACTTACTTTGCAGCTTTAATGACCTCTTCTCCCATTTTCATGGCTTCTTCTCTCTTGTCAAAAGCCTTTGCAACAGACTGCCACTGTGTTTCTTCATCCTTAACCTGAACAGAGACATTATAGGGCTATCATTGATGGAAATTTTTGAATCAATACATCGAGATACCAACTAAATATCAACGATAATGAACGGAAACTTTTAAGGCAATATATTACCTTATTTTTTTCATAATAATATTTTGGAAGTATACTTTTTTAAAATTCAAACAATAATTTTTGCATCAAGTATAAAGCTTTATACTTTTAAAGGACAAACTATGTGAAACTTACACTAGAATTCTCATACATAGCAATCTTGAGGAGATCTGTGTGCTGTTTGGTAGCTTCAATCAGAACATCTTCAGCTTCCAATGCCTTGCGTATCGTAGCATCACATGCTTCTATAATGTTCTCAAGATTCACTTCTAATGAGGCATTCTCCGCAGCAATGTTGGATTCTTTCTCCGCTTGTCTCCTCCTAGCTTCTTCTTTTTCCCTCAACTTTCTCTCCAGAGCATCTCTTTCATCTTCCTCCTGCTTTCTCTTTGCAGCAGCTCTGAATCTAGCTTCCTCCTCTTCTTGTTTTCTCTTTGCTTCAGCTTCAGCTTCTTCTTCTTTTTTCTTTGCAGCCTCTTGAGCCTTTGCTTCCTCTTCCAATTTTTGCTTCTGGTCCAGTTTGTCTTTGGAAACAGACAAAAAGGTTCACAGTTAAATACATGTTATGCGGACAACTTGAACTTTACAGTATGTTAACAAAATATACATTGTAGTTTTCATGACAACCATATAAAAAGGCAGTACATGATTCATCAGCTTGAAATATGAGTAAACCAGACATTTTTCCATCACCACTATATCAACATAGTCCAATAAGGTTTTGTTAAGTCACTCTTATCCTTGTTACATATTGCCTTAAATTCCTCACACTTTGACCTTCTATATAAACAGTTTTTATGTAGGACACTCACCTTTAGGTTTTTCCTTCGTTGGCTTGGGTGGTACAACAGGCGGAGTCGGCAATGGTGGCTGGGATACTCCAATTTTCTCGGGGCTTTCTTTCAACCTTGGTAGAAGCTGCTGGTCCTGAATTTTTGAATCCTTACCCAGTTGTGGAAATTTTGAGTCACTTGTATTTGATCTGAAAACATTCAGCAGTTGTATAATTTATTAAGTATATATGAATATATACATGTGCAGATATATGACTTATAAAATTATTGGATTTATTCTTCTGTATTTCTGTATGCGTGATTTTGGCATACTTTGGGAAAAGGGGTCTCAAATTTAACACTAACTTTTAACAAGTTCTTCAAAAAACAAAGGAAGGAATAAGCACTGGGAAATACTAATACGGCAGTAAAAGACCTTAATTCAACATCATCATTTCATTTTGTTCTATATTCTATGGGAAATTTCAAAAGACTGGGGAATTTTGAGAACCAAACTGGGGGAAAAAAGAGGCTAGTTTGGTTGGGGAAGCAGCCTATATTCAGGCTCTACAAAGAAGGGGTTTTTTTTATTTCAACTCGGTGTCTAGTAATAAAGGATAGCTCCAAAAGTAGAGAAATAGACAAATTTCTTTATTAAAAAAAAAAAACCTATTAAACATAAAAACATTCTTTTATCAGTAAGATGTCACATTAACAAGAAAAAGCAATATTTTATCATAACACTTACATGTATGGTGCAGGAACCGCTGGGCTATCAGGTAAGTAGGTAAAAATAGCATCTATGACACCTTCACTGTATGGTATATTTCCTTTGAGTTTCTTTCGAAATTCCTGATCGTACCACGCATAAGCTATAGCTCCGCCTACACCAACCAAGCTTACGCCCATTACTGCTTTGACAAAACCACCTTTCCTATTAAACATTAAAAATGCTTTTTACATATGAACATATTTCAGATATTAAAATCATTATCTATTCCATCTGAAACAGTTGTATTGGAGGCATCAAGTATGTTATTGTAGCATTTTTTCAGATGAAAGAAATAAACCTTCAAATATTCAAACTTAAGAAAATACATGTATATTTTCATAGTTTTAAGCAACTCTCCAACACTCAGTGACTTGAACATCTTTGTAATAAAGTATCATAAAAGGAAGAAGAAAAAGCTGTCCTATAGACAACAAGCTCAACTATTCTCAGTAAAACAGGAGCCTGGATATTAATGTAGAATTTTCTTAATTCAAAAAATCTCATAAATCTGTCACAATCCCTATTAGAGTTATCGGCCTTAAACAGTGACATCCTATTATGCTCTGAAGTAAGTGTATTTAGTGTTAACCCATTCCCTTCAGTAGTTTTGGAGATACCAACTTACATGGAAAAACTTACCAGACCCATTCCCTTTCAGTATTTTTGGAGATACCAACTTGCATGGAAAAACTACATTACCAAGCTGTTGCAATGTTTTATTTTGTAAACATGGTTGTAAATTTAGAACTATAATAAGCAGCCATATTCAAATCTGTCTCAAGTGAAATGTAACAACTGTAACTTCACACTAATCTCACGAACACTACAAACTTTTACATCTGTGTGTATTTTTTAACTAAAAACAGTAACTGTTGTATTGTGTTGAGGCCCATCTTTTTTAATATCAGGAACAACCGTGTGTGGGTAAGTAGCTTTAAGCTAAAAATAATAAAATAAAATAATTGAGCCGCGTCACGACAAAACCAACATAATGGCTTTGCGACCAGCATGGATCCAGACCAGCCTGTGCATCCGCGCAGTCTGATCAGGATCCATGCTGTTCGCTATCAGTTTCTCTACTTGTTACAGAGTTTGTAAGCGAACAGCATGGATCCTGATCAGACTGCGCGGATGCGCAGGCTGGTCTGGATCCATGCTGGTTGCAAAGCCATTATGTTGGTTTTGTCGTGACACGGCTCATTAATGATAATTATGATTTACTTTGGTGGTTTACTGGATGGTTGTCCCCCTGTAGATGAACCAGGTGGCTCTTTTAAGTTTCCAATATGAGGAGGTTGAGGTTGTTGTGCCAAACATCTTTCACCATAATAATTCAAATTGGATATCTGTAAAAAGAAACATTTGGTAAAAGGGTATAAATCTATATCTTATAAAATACTTTTTGTAATATTTATAAACAGTAAATTATGTTCTTTTAATAATCCTATAGCTAACTATCACAGGCTTTTTTTCCCTCTGTTTTGGGAAAATGGCACATGGCAAATTTGGGAAATTTGTGTCATAAAATTTTCTAATTTGGGAAAAAAAAGCTATCATGAAATTTGCCAATTTGTGAAAATGTGCTAGCATTCAAGTTGTTACAATTGTTAAAATAAATGTAACAAATCTTAATAAATCTTAATTAAACTGTTCAGCTTTTTCTGTCATATCAAAAATACAAGAGGGCCATGATGGTCCTGAGGTCGCTCACCTGTATATTGGCCTCCGAAACGGGGCCAGTTTAAACCCCAGAGCTTTGATTTGAACAAACTTGGAAGACACCCATTAGAAGATGTTTCATGATGTTTAGTTTTTACTACACACATATAATGTAAAATAATGACCAGCCCCACCCCCCGCCAGGGCCAATTTTTACCCAAGGGCTTTTATTTGAACAAACTTGGTAGACAACCATAAGAAGATGTTTCATGCTTAATATCTAAGCTCTAGCTCATTGGGTTTTTTAAAAGAAGATTTTTATGTTTTTACTATACAAATATAGTTAAAAACATTGACACCCCAGGGGCGGGGCCAGTTTTGACCCCAGGGCTTTTATTTGAACAAACTTTGTCGACACTTACTAGAAGATGTTTCATGCTTAATATCTAAACTCTAGCTATTTGGACTTTTTCAAAGAAGATTTTTAAGTTTTTGCTATACACATATATATAAGGAAAATCAATGACCCCCTTGAACAAACTTGATAGACACTCACTAGAAGATAATTCATGCTTAATATCTAAACTCTAGCTGTTTGGGGTTTTTCATAGAAGATTTTTGAAGTTTTTGCTATACACATACAGTCAACTATCGTTATCTCGACATCGCTTTTCTCGATATTTCGTTATCTCGATGAAATTTTGAAAGTCCCGATTTTCTTCCTTCTTTGTCTATATTGGAAATATTTGTTTATCTCGATATTTTTATTTCGATATTTTCAGTATCTCGATGTACAATTTCAGCCCCAACAGTTATTTTCACACTATTATCCTTTGTTTATCTCGACTAATAGTTTTCTTTCGTCTGTTCCCTTCAGACGTGTGAAAAACACAAACTAGACGATTATTGCTCAATAGCACGTTTCATAATGATGATTATGTTTGTAACATGTTTAGCTGTTTTTATAAAAGTTAACTTAATCTATTTAGCGTGTTGATTGACTTATGTCCCAAATGAGTGAATTTTACGTTCTTTATAAATATTCGAACACTGTATCAATTCATTATGACTTTAAATGTAAATGAAATAGTGAAAGTAAAGAAACGCTGTCGTTGCAATATTGTTTCACATCATAAAACCATCAAATCAATCAGCGGTCAAACAACATCGAGATAGACCCAATAAATAACCCGGGAGGTTATCTGGATCAACCACCCTGAAAACAATGTTTTCACTATATTGGTGTATTACTGAGTAAACCTCACTATGTGTTTTTATCACAGAATCTCGTATTTCCGCTGGTAAACATTTGTTAAATATTGACTAGGCCTATGAAAACAAAACACGAGGATATCATAGTTTATTTGACATGAGGTATGCACATGTCTTTTGTAAAAATCAGTTTCTGCCTTATTCAAACCCTAATATGTATATCTCGACATTTCGATATCTCGATATTTTTTGACGGTCCCGACAACTTCGAGATAACGAGAGTCGACTGTAAAAGGAAAATCAATGACCCCCGGGGCTGGGCCAATTTTGACCCCAGGGAATTTAATTGAACAAACTTGGTAGACACCCATTAGAACATGTTTAATGCTAAATATCTTAGCTCTAGCTCTTTGAGTTCTTTGAAAGAAGATTTTTTAAGTTTTTACTATATGCATATAGGGAAAATCAATAACCCCCTGGGGCGGGGCGAATTTTGACCCCAGGGCTTTTATTTGAACAAACTTGGTAGACACTCATTAGAAGATGTTTCATGGTAAATATCTTAGCTCTAGCTCTTTGGGTTCTTTAAAAGAAGATTTTTTAAGTTTTTACTACAGTAAAAACCCGCTTTACGACCACCCCGTTTTCGAGACCAACCCGCTAATACGAACGATTTTTTAAAGACCCAGTGTCTATTCTAGGAATTGAAAAATAGGGGTGATTTTTCCCCCTCTATTTCAAAAAAGGGGGCGATTTTCAAAATCAAAGGGCGCCAATATAAACTGCCAATGTTAAATCGTCTGCATTAAGTTTACACTGAGGCGTTCAACCGATGAAATAATTATTTAAAACGATAATATTAATTTAAGGCAGCAGAAGTTGTCCCCCCTGAATTTTTAAACGAAAACAAATTATTACAGAACTGCCGCGATTGATTATAAAGGGATTGGCAATACAAATAATCGAACTATCTTTCACGTCTAGATCGTAGCCAAGCTAGGAATTGCCTCATTTTTCTTGATTATTTACTACACTAAAATGGCGCCCAACTGTCAGACCTAAGCACACTAGTTCCGGTCGATACGGAACATTCCGTTAATTTCCGTCAACTCACGTAACCAGTACCATACGGTACTAAATTATTATAATTAGCTTACAGTAACCTCCCTTCGGTTTTCGGTGTAAATGTAAACAAAACAACCAAATATAATGCGGGATGGAAGTTTTACGGTTTTATTAACTTTTTTTATAGATGCGCGATTTTCACGCACATGATTTTGAATTGTGCGCGATCTGTTAAATACTAGCGTGAATCGCGCAATCGCGCGTCCTAGAATAGACACTGAAGACCCGATTTTTTTATTCTTTATTTTAATGGTCGCTAACCCCGATTTTGAGACCACCCCGTTATTCCGTAATACGACCAGTAAATTCAGTCCCATTTCGTAAATTCTGTACATTTGGAAACCCATAAATACGAACGCGGGCACTTTCTCACCTTGATATTGACATGCATGTATATTGCTGAAATCTTTTTGAAACGTGGTGTAAACAACAGTTGTCCTTGTTTTACGACATTTAACAACATCCAATTTACGGCAGAGGTCAATGTGACTTTGTATCAAACCCGGAAATGATCAATAATATTGTCGATAACTTCTTAATTTCACACCTTTAATGTCATAACTGGAGGATTAAAACAACAAAGTATTGAACAGAAAACTTTCAATAAGTTTTTTAGAGGTGTTGCTGCTATTATTATCTCTTTCATTCCATAATTTTATACAAACATAAACATGATACGGTTAGGTTTTTGAAGTTGTTATTGGCGATGAAAACTGTGAAAAAAATTAAAGGTTAATTGTTCGGTGTGCTTTGTAGTAAAATGGTGATTTAATTGAGTAAGTCATGTCATTCTTTTAACAAGAATGTAAAAATATGTTTGTGTTTAAAGACATTCATAATACGTTTTGTACCTCTTAAGAAGTTTAAAAATTTTATAATGTTAAAAAGTAAAAGAAAATAAATGAAAATAAAAAAATAATAGTGTATGCTTTATATCTTCTCATTTGAAATAGGTTAGCCCAGAATTAAACATGTGTACAGTACATGGTATCCCTTAATATATTGCCTGGTTTTCTGTTTGACCTAACTCATTAATGAGACCAACCTGCTATTAAGACCAGATTTGTAAAGTCCCTTCATTGGTCTCATTAGCGAGTTTTTACTGTATATGTATATAGGGAAAATCAATGACCCCCTGGGGCGGGGCCAATTTTGACCCAGGGCTTTTATTTGAACAAACTTGGTAGACACTCACTAGAAGATGCTTCATGTCAAATATCTAAACTCTAGCTCTCAGGGTTTTTGAAAAGAAGATATTTAAAGTTTTTTCTTTTGGTTGCCATGGCAACCAGAGTTCTGCGTGGAATTAAATTTTTTGAACAATTTTTAAAGGTGACCACCAAAGGAACATTCCTGTGAAGTTTGGATGAAATTGGCTTAGTGGTTTATGAGGAGATGTCATTTAAAGCAAAAGTTTACGGACGGCCGGACGCCGGACGAAAAGCGATCACAAAAGCTCACCCTGTCACTTTGTGACAGGTGAGCTAACAAGGACAGGTTTAAATGTGTACAAATGTAAAACTGATATTAATTAAAAATACTGTTTTTATTCACAAAACATGAATATATTCAGTAAATTTGGACATTTCTGACCTAGCCAAGCACCTTCAAGATAGCGTAAAACACTAATTTCTTGTAGTCGCGAAAAGTAATAATTTTCCAACCTGAAGTATTTGTTCACATGCCGTACCGTAATAGGGATATTTACAACTAAGATTTTTCAATGACCTGTTAGTTCGTAAGCAATATAAAATTATTGATTGGATAGTATACTAATAATTATCTTATTATTCAATATTTCTGAGATGTTTATGTAATATTTATGTAATCTTAATTTACAGGACGACGGCGACAATTCACGTCCAACATTATTTTACTGCGCACCATATGATATTCCAGAATATGCAATACTATGAAGAAACTTCGTTAAGAACCTATAGAAAGGCAGCCCAGCAGCTGATGTCTTTTTACGTGAAAAGTATGAAGTATGCCTATTTCAATGAGACGTGCTCCCAAACCCGCCTGTCGAGATAGATATAACTTATAAAACTTGTTATTATTCCTCTATATTTTAGCCAATTAAGTTTTAAGTGAATATGTAAAACTTAAAAGTTTGCGACATTAAATAGCGTATTGATTTGTTGTTGCCGCTTTGGCGTACGTGAGTCACGTAAATACTTAAAGTCTGTAAGCGTAAGCTGAATAAAATGTTCGGATTCATTTTTAGTTAGACTTTTCTTCAAATAGTTTCACAACAATTCGACAAAATTTTTTTTATCAGATTTCAACAAATGCGTCATTTCATTTTAACACACTTCCGTTTCTTACCCTGTACTAGGGATTAACAATTAGTTCCACAGTAAGTGCGTCATGGAATAATGAACATTTTATTGAAACTAATCTAATAAACTATCGTTAATCATATTTCTTGAAATTGTTCAGTAAAGTTATGAAATCAACGTACAGCGTTGATTTTAAATTCAGGTCCAAACATTTTGACCACGGCGAATTTTCATAATGACATACCGGTATTATACCTGAGCATGTTAGATTATTAACAGATGGTCAAAATGAGTACCTTTTTCTGTAAAAAGATTACGTCTTTACATTTCAAATCAGGAAGTGTGACGCACACTACGGTAAACTCTGTGACGTAAGTAACATAAAACTTTTAAAAGATTGTTTTTCATCATAATTTTCAAGCCAAATAAGATTTAGTAAATAATGTAAAACTTAAAATTTGCGACATTAAATTGCACTTTGAACGCACGTATACAATACTTTGTTGATTGATTCTTCATGTTCATTATTTCTTAATACCTTCATTCAGATATGCACAACAAAATTACAAATTGTTTTTTTCATTCAAGTTAAACTGTAATTTTGACACAAGCTTCCAGAATCTGGTTCTGCATATGTTCCAAATCCGCTCAGTAAACGTTCACAAATCCTCACGTTTTATGCTAATTATTTAAACGAAGGTGCATGAATTACGTTATTGACGGTTTCCCTGCAATTATCGGTTCCATAGCTGCGCGTCGACGCAGTCTACAGCACCGTTTTCGTCAAATTCCTCATTTTTATGTTTCTTTAAATTCGAATTTGCGATGTGCCAATTCGGATACTTTGACGAATATTTGCAATATATATATTCACTTAGCAGGTTATGGTTACTAAACTCTTTCAGAATCGGCAGCTGTAACTCATATCAATATTGTTTTTCTTAACAAGTAATGATTTTAGCCAGTATTCTCGACAGTGAAATTATAGAGATATTTGCCAATATATTGTTCTTACTTTAACCCACTTTATTGAACATCAGGGTAGTCACTATCAATAAATTTAAATGAATGGAAAGAAATGAAAACAATTATCAGTCTCGGGATTTACTTCAAAATACAAGGATTACCCTTATACGTGATGTCACGCCTCTTGGTGTTGCTTTCCACATAATTTCTTAAGCCGGTCAACGGCAAGGAGAACTTTTAGACTGGTAGCTGAACTCCCTGAAGCCTAAAACGACTCGTCCCACTATAGATTCGTACCGGAACGACTCGCCACAGTTCATTACATTTAAATACAGTACAGCGTCTTATTCAGACTTTTGCTTATTAAATCAATAAAATGAAGGTGATATTCAATCAGATCTAACATATTCAATGACAAAAGTTCTTTCTGAAATGTTATTTCAAATAAAGTTTCTCTGAAAAAATCTAAACAAAAACAGGAACGTTTACGGAAATATGTAAACTGACCAAAATAAACATATTTCTTATCTGTAAAATCACGGATTTAAATTACAATTAAATAGTGTCAATTAAAGTCCGTGGTAAAATTTATTATTGATTGAAAAAAATGATAAAAGCGTTAAAATTCACAATACATCTCTCACAAGTTAATTATTTATATGTAAAATATCACAATTCTTTATCTAATTAAAATCAAATTCTTCTCATTAAGAGTAGTAACAGAATGGAATACCGTAGATTACCAAACATTGCACGGTATGTTCACAAAAGCTGAATTTGTTAAAAAAAAACAGACTTGATAAAATTATGAGTAAAAATTATATACTGGAAAATAATTATTGGGTGTCAGATCGGGGGGGGGGGGGTTACAAGAGATTTCTGATCTCGCGACCCTACGCTGGATAAAGTAAAGTAAAGTTTAAGAGTCTATTTTACACTTTCCTACTCTACAATGTATATATTACTCATTATATGTCTTCATTGTCTGCATAAACATTTGTTTTTAAAATGAAATGGTCAATCATGAAATGTACGTTTTAACATAAACAAATATTTTAAAAGTATATAGCATCATGCATAACAACAAACTATATTATGGATGTTGTTAATAAGTGTGATATACAAAAATGTACTTGATTCGATATAACATATCTAAATAAAGCAGATGATAAATTGTTCTATCTAAACAAAAAAAATATTGTTCATCTTTTAAATGTTCATTCTAAATTTATCTAAACTACTGTATAATCACACTCAGTATAATTTCAACTTGCCAGCTGTATGCAATACTCAGGCTTTTAATCTTCTGATTTCCACTCAAAACTCCAGCTTATTTAGCTAATAGATTTTTCATTTGGGTCTACACCTAAAATCACTAGTGCGGCACAAATAGGCTTAAAAAACAAACTTTTAGATACATGTATATAGACAATGAGTTGTTGTTTGTGAAGCTAAACGTGTCTAGCTAAATCATGCAAAATTTCTTCCATGAAAGATTACTCTAATGGAAGTTACAACATGTTGAAATAAATAGCCATTTTACGATTCAAAATATCAAAATACCTACGTGACTACTAGAACAATTTTTAAATTGCGATTATTGTTGACTGAGTAATGTAGTACAATATGTTCAACTCTTTAAGTTTGATAGCTATATATGCAGAAGCAACAAAAATACACATGTAACTGTCTTCCGAAATACTTAGTTTTCTCCAGGTTCATTAATTAAGCAAACATGAAAACACCTAAAAATCTTAACTTTATTGGGAAAATCTCAATCAATTCAAATAACATTTTTTTTGCAAGACAACCTTTGCTTTCTGTTATAAGCATTTTTCCAGAAACAAACATCACATTATATTTAAACTATATTTCAATATAAGAATAGAAGTTCTGCTAATTATTCATTTATCATAGCAACATTCAACAAGAACTGGTCAATGTAAAAAGGAACGTATGTATTGTCAGTCTTTATATTTTTTATGATAATTTTTATAGTGTATCAATTTAACGTGTCTATTTAATCAGTAAATATTAAAATTATGCTCCTTAAAAGACGACGATATTCATGTTGATGTATAAATAACATATTTTGATGTAAATATACAACTTGAATTAATTATTCACGTACCGTAGACTATTTTTAGTTGATGTAAATACGTATATATAGAAGTTTCTTGTCCTGGAATGCCATGGTTCAAATGGCGCATTGGAATAGAAAATAATAAAAAAATATGATAAACAAGATCAACAAGGAAAAGTGGCGTTCAATAAACGCAACCCCCACATGAGCCCAGACGGACACCAAACAAAAAAGGGACATGGCACAAGGCAGAGCACGGACAGGCTAATCACAAAGCCTTAAAGATAGCCTATAATGATGAAAGAAACTACATGAATATACATGTATGTATACATGTAGTTGTGACCAGCATCTTCATCATGTACATGCGTAAATAAACCACAGCTAGCTTCTTTAATTTAATTTACTCTTTAGTACAGAGATATTTTACAATAAAAACTTAAAATCGCTATATATACGAGTATGTGATAGTCACAGTTCGTGGAGTGATTTTAAAGCAGAAGTCATAGATCTTTACAGAATTGTGACAGACGAATCTATAATATAAATTTGAATTAATTTTTATTGAATTTTTCAGTAAACCATTTAATAAGTGCAATATATATCTCTTTTTCTTTTGACCAATTTTTACGTTGCACAAGTTCTGTATTGAATGTTACTGAAATCAAAATTTTCCTCATTTTTGGTTCATTAATTTATTATTTGATTCTTCGTTAGCGTATCTGACATAGACTAATCTTAAACATTTTTCTACTCGGGAACCATACGAATGCCACATTGAAGACTCCATGATAACCGCCTTATTAGCACATAGCCATGGATCTGCTGTTGTTTCAAAATTCAAATTTTAACATTTAATGAATGTTTATTGAATTCTACTTAAGCCGGTGCTACGGGGCGTAAACAGTAAGTTCATGAACAGGCTCAATCTGATCGAGCTGAAACATTTTCAATTTTGTCGTGATGCGCATAATATTTATCAACTTATTAAAGTTACGCATTCATACCTTTTAATGCAAAAAGGTATGCCTATAATATAGAACTCCACTATTTACTTTTATTTTACCAAATTTATTCTTATTTCTGAAATACTGATTACGAATAGTTCGAAAATTACTATGGGTACGAAATGGGTAGCCTACGAAACTGAACATCTTAAAAAAAAAATTGAAACCAGTCTAAATTTCCCGCCATGTAAAATATGTAAAATATCTTTTGCTAAATTTATTGCTGCAAAATAGCACGTCAAGAACGATACTGGACTTGGTAAGATTTCTTTATGTACATAATTTGCAACCACAGTATTTGTAACAATATACAAGGTTGAAAAATATCTTTATGTGTAATATTTTTATTTTATCATTAGTTTTCGCGGTAATGTTAAAATAAATTTGTCGAAAAAAAATAGGATAATAAAAGGAAAGTGCTTTGGTTTCATATCGTATGTTAGATGTTTGCGTTCAGGTATTAGATTTAATAAAATAATGGTGTAAATGAATAGTTGGCGAACTTATATATGGAGCGGTGCGAAAGTGTTTTTTGGCGGCCTTATATGTTGTGTGATATCTATAAATGCAAGGTATTTAGTTCAGTCACTCACTCGGACTGTATTTGATGACACTGAAGAAAATGAACCCAGTACAAATTTCTGAAACAGATACTGTGGAATCCAGATTATCCTTTTCCACTTACTGAAACTCTATTCACATGCTGCGTAATCAGGACTCTGATTTTGATTATGACCAGGTTTTTTTTCCAGGATTTTGGGAACATGACCCATACCTATGGAATTGGGAATTTCAGCGATGTTTTGTTAAAAATTGGGAAAAAAGGCATGACTTAACTTTTGCAGTGTTTAAATAAATGGAAAGAATTATTGTCTAGGATGGCATCTTCAAACATCTAAGCACCATAACAGTGAAGAAACCCTTATTTTTAAAATTTGTTATTCAATATTTTTACTTTGTAACTTTCAATTGGGAATTTTTTCCTGTGGATTGGGAAAATAATATACTATTTTCAATTGGGAATATGACTGAATATCGGCTATAAAATAAGCCAAAAAAAATCCCTGATGACGATTTTGAATGTTTTCATTTTCAGACAAAGTCCATCAATCTGGATAAAATGATTTTTTATTTAAGAGAATAAAAATGTTACAGAAATCCTTTGCGTCTTTGAAATAATAATAAATTAAGGCAGCGCTGTCATAGGTATGCATATATTTGGAAAACAAAATTGGTCACTGACAAAAATTTATCTGGGTCAGACGAGAATTGAAAGTTTGTCTGACCAATTTTAGGCAAATTTTTTAGCAGTTTGAATAAGCCAGATAGGAGGGTAAAACTGTACGGGTCAACTCGGCCCTATGATAAAAACCTATATACAGTTGGGACCAAGTAAATAATAATAAGTAATTTACCTGATAATCATCTGTATTAGATAAAGGTCTTACAGGGCTCAAGCTGGGAGGAGCTAATGAGCAAATTTGCTCCAAAATTATTAAATTTGCTCAAGAAAATCATGATTGACTCAAAGTGTGAGTAGTATGGTAATTGTCTTGTCCATCATTTCCATTCCCATATTTTTATCTTGAGTGTAACTCAAAAAGTCTTTGAGGTTACAACATTATGATTATAGATATAATCTAGTTTAAGTTGCTCTTGTTTTGTAATGGACAAGTCAAAATGACTCTAATTAACATGTCCTATAATTGTAAACAATCCTCATGGAATGGTTTTCCTATATTTACCTGGCTTACTGTTTTCAGTAAATTTGTGTCATGATTAAAGATGGTTGGAAGAAGCAAGAGACCTTATGTGACAACACCGAAAGAGACAGAGCCTGCAAGTGATGAAGATGTAAGTTATTTGCTCCTTCAACAAGGGACTTGGCAGGTTTCTTTACTTCTACAGCAGAAGCTGTTTATAGGCATCTTTCGCCAGGAAAATTCTTTGAAAAAATGCAGTCAAAACTTGCATTGTTTTCCCAGCAATCACCCTCACTTCTCTGAGTGAGCTGTGGTTGCAATTGATACATTATATGTTGATGTTTTTTAGGTTTGGTTTTTTTCCAGCATTGTGGAGTATTTGTTAAGTACTTTTAAATTGTTAAATATTTGGAAGTCCTTTTTAGAGGGAGGAAAATTGCACACTCTATTTTATTTAAGTGTAAACAAAGAAAAGCAATATAATTGTTTATTAGTTTACCTTCAGTGCAAATGAAAGGTGGCCATTTTTTGCTCCACTTTTCAGTAGTAATTTTGATGACCCAGACAGAGGTTTTGGCATTGTTTAAAGTAAATTGGTCTTCAAGTGGCACATTTATTCACAAGTTATTCAAATATTGATGAAAACAATAAAAAAATTTCATTTGGATATTGTGTCAGAATATTTATTGAAAGAAAATGTGATTTTGAATGACCATTAATATTATAAATAATATTAATAATATTTTATCTATAACTATTTATTTTCTGATGTATAGCTGATCATCGTTCATCAAATGGATTAAATTGCTTCATTTATATTTAACTTTATTTCAGATTGTTTGTCATGATTTCCCTGTAAGACAAAACAGGAAAGGTAAAGCAGCTACAAAGTTAAATATGAAAAAGAAGAAATTTGAAGAAAAAATAAATGAATTTGGTGAGTTTAATAAAGACTTCATAAAAATTACATTATAGTAATATGTTGAAAGGAGTAAATATTTTAATTTGTTGCTAACTTATTATTCTTAGATGCCAGTTCTAACAGTACAACAGTGAAACATGGAAGGTTGGGTACCAAAACTTAATTTTGACTGCCAGCAGTTTTACTTTTCTTTTTTACTCCTTTTTATTTCATGCTTTCCAGTGTTTTATTGTAATATATCAGATGATTATATTCTGATAAACAACTAGTGAAATTTATAAAATATAATTTTCACTGTAGCCGGACTATATCTGAATGCGGATGAACAGATAATCATAACTAGATGGAATAACAGGCAGAAATAAATGCCGTCATACGTAAATTTTGCTTCTTTAGGAAAAGAAAGTCCATGTCATCATACATCATGTTAGAAATTTAGCAAAATTAGAGAAATTTAACGGAACTAGATTTCAAAACTGATGATGTGACGTCATGATATTATGACGTCACAAAGGAGATGCGAGACGTTACGCGGCAAAATCAGTAAAAAATAGCTTAAAATCACTTAAAAAGCATAAAATAGAAAGAAAATTTATTTGTTTTACATATAAGATTGAAATATATTTCATTCGTGAACACCAGCTATTATATTTTCAAAAATATTGCATCTGGTGTTCACTCAGTGAAATTATATTTCAATCTTACATGCAAAACAAACAAATATCCTCTATTAAATACTTGGTGAAGGATAGATTTTTCTGTACTTTGTTCTTGCACATTATTGGGAAAAAAATATCATCAGATTCTGTGTAATACACATCAATAAATTTGCTATCTGTCGTAAAGGAAAACATGTTGTCTTCAACATAATTATGCATGTTTTCGAGACAAACATTATTCAGGTCTTTTCCTAATCATTTTGGGAAAAGAACCTTGCCCAGTTTGGGTAATTTTGCATTGTGAAATTGCTTGATTGGGAAAAGTGTTTGGTACCTTTTTACACCTCCTTCATGCTTATTCCAACCGATGGAAATATCATTCAAAGCAAAAAAAATACATTAAAATTTAACAATAAAAATTTGTGGAACATCTTAAGCTATACTGGGGTGAATTCTAGCAAATTATGGTCAGTTTTGATATCAAGTATTTTCAGTTCAGTTGGAAATATTTTTTTTAAGATTGGGGAAAAAAATAAGCATATAAGCCATTGGGAACGGGTCTGGTAATCTGATCTGTGGTGACGCTGGGAAAAGGCATGTTATTGCATTTCATGCCTTTCATTATTTGTGAAATTAAGACCATTTTTTTTGCATTTTCAGCTGGGTTTGATGTGGACGATGCATCTGAAGATGAGAAAAGACAGATTAGGGTAAATATTGGGCAGAGTATTTTATTGTGCGCCCAAGGGAGATAATTTAGTCAATGCATCATTAAATAACAAATTTAAATTGACAAATGTACTGGTTTGGGGAGCATCCATCACCTACAACAGTATTCCTGCTTAAGCAGTTTACATTATTTATTAGTTTAAATGCTTTTGACCCTTGTCCCACAAAAAAAGATGTAACTGACTTACCTTGCTTTCAAATTAAATTGAAGGAGTTTAGATATAGAAGAGTTATACTAAGATTATTGTATAGAATCATACTAGCAGCGTAGCTACATATAACTAGATCTTGTATTAAGTAAGTCATTATCACTGTAGCATTTAAGAATTTAGAAAAAAAAAAGAAATGCATTTCAAGAAAATGACTTACTACTTACTATACTTTCTAAGGAAGTTCTTAATAAGTTCTGTTGCAATACCTTTATTATATAAATTATATTGATAGGGTTTTTTTCCAATTGTCCTTATCAGTTTCTTGATTGTGTATTTTGTGCATCATGTTCTGAGGATTTCACTATGCATTATTATGTTATGTAATAAAGACAATTATTATTGCAAAATCTAAATCATTGAGATTTGTTGAATGAATGCAATTGCATTGTTGTGTAGGAGGCAATTCTTGCATCAACAAAAGACCATCAACCACACAGTTTGAAACAACAGAGTTGTGAGGGTATAAATGGATCAGATCACAGATCATATTCTTCGCAGAAAACGGAGTCCCCAACCAGTGATGTTATAGAAATAAACAGTGAAGAGGACATGCCTTTGAAGGTTTTTGTTCTTTTCTGAAGTCTAAATTTTACATAAGTATTAATATGTAGCCTTGAACCTTGTTGCGTTTTGTTGATGATAGATAATAATTGGAAGCTGAATGACTTTGTTACAAATATCAATATCACTTTAGTATAAAAGCCTTAAAATATCATAAAATTTTAATTCTTATATAGATCAACTAGTGGAGTTGAAATAGAAAGATAGACAAAAGACAGTAAAAATATTCAGAAAATCACGTTTTTGTGCAACTCGGCCTTATTGTATTAAAAAGTGTTTTTAATGCTTTTAGTCTCCTTCCGGTTTAAATTGAGGGGACTTTAGGTTTACCCTCTCTCTGTCCGTCCGTTTGACTGTCAGTCCTTCACTCCATCCGTCCACAAATCTGGATCCCGTGATAACGCAAAAAGTACTTAAAATATTTTTATGTAACTTGATATATGGATAGATGGCAGTCTGGAGATTATGCACGTCTTCTTCCTTTCTTCTTATATTGAAAACTTTGGTTGCTATGGCAACAAATAGATTGAAAATATGGCTTATTTAACTCATAAACTGTATCCAGTGATAACACAAAAGCACTGAAAATATTTTTATGAAACTTAAAATACAGGAAAATGGCAGTCTGGAGATTATGCACATCTTTTCCTTTTCTTCCTATGATGAAAAATGGGGTTGCTATGGCAACAGATAGGCTTAAAATATGGCAAATATGACAATATTTGTGATTACTTAAAAAGTACTGTTAACATTTTAATCTTGACTTTAAGGTATTGAGAGCTGTTTTATTGCCCAGCGTCAGCGACCTCGTCAAGATTTCTGATTCAAGTTTTTGGGCTTTTTCACTACAAGTTCTTTATTTCTTAACGTATTTACTTCAGACTTCAAATATATATATTTTTCTGATCATCAACCACATCATAATTATGTGATAAGGTTTACAACCCTAGCACAAAAATTATCAGACTTGAACTTCCAATGGAATGTTTAGATTTCAAACCTTGGCAAAGCTGATACTTAAATTCAGCAGGTAAAGAGTTTAACTTGCCTATAGGAAAATTGTTTTTTTTTTTCAATACAGGGCAATACAACTCCCAGGAGCAGCATGCAAGAGTCTGCTGTACAAGATGATGATGATGCAACACAGCCACCTTCTGATATGGTATGTATAATGAGATAAAATGTCTTTTTATATGCCTCAGAAATGCTGTCATTTTCATTTCTCAAAAACTTTACTTTGGTATCTTATTAGTTTTCAAAAATTACTCATTTGCCATATAAATGAATTATCTTTTGTTTTGTCACAGTACTGCATGTTTAGGGCTACTTTCTTCAGTTGTTTAACATCTAACATTCTATGAATCCATTAAATTTCTAACAAAGTTGAGAAATATGGATATCTGAGGCATAATGTGCCTTTAAGAAATATGTGTGTATATAATGGCATTTATGATGCTTAATTTGTCAATGTGTAAACATGGAGAGGATTACATTGAGCTTTCAGTTCAGCCCACTTTATCATGGAATTGATTAGATTTCTGTATGTTCTCTGATTGTTGTTAATAATTTCTAGAAATAATCTCTTCCAAAACCATGTAGACTTCATCAGGAATATATGATGCCAATTTGTCTTTGGGAGTTTTTTTTTTTAAATCATTGGGTAAAGTGCCATAAATACAGTGAGTCAGGCCTGGGTGTCAGATAATATAATGAGGAGAAAAAATCCAAAACTTTTTGAAAAAGTTTTTTTTTTTTTACAAAAGATAAAAAAGCTCTGTGGGTTAAAAAATCGTCCTTGGTCTCAAGAATTATCTTCAGTACCTTTTACTATGATGAAAGGTATAAGCCCACTTGGGCAATTGTTTTATGATAAGACAATAACTTTCTAGTGTAAAAATAGCTAAATGGACTGTCACATATGTTATATAGTTAGTGGTTCAGTGAACATGTATAGGGAGAATTTATTGTGGCAATAGTTTCTAGGTGCTATTCTGATATGTTTTATTGTTAAAAGTTGATAGTTTAAAATTGTAATCCTAACTCTGTGTGCTCTTTGGAAGACAACAGTATGGAATTAACAAGGGCCATATAATTCTTTAGAATAGCTTACAAGCGTAACTTTGCTTTTATGATGTACCATAAGTTCTGATTAGCTTAAACCATTCACTCCCCACTGCTGTGGGTTCAAATCCTACCAGGAACTTTGAATTCTTTTATGTGAGGAACATCAGCTGTTCTACTTGGGTGCCATTTCATGCCTGAATCAATGTAAGGAGGGACACCTGAGGTCTTCGTCCACCAGTAAAGCTGGAAAATTGCCATATGACTTTTACAGTGACAAATATTGATTGAAAATATCTGTATTTTGATCAAGTTCAATCGTTAAAATTTTGTAAGAATGTGTTTATTTATTTGTAGGAAGAAAATGACTTTGTCTTAAATTTGGATCAACCAACATTAGACGAGTCTAGGGAGGAGGTTTCGGACAACGAGTCTAAATGTATAGAAGATATTGATATTACATTGAAAGATGATGACTGTATAGAGGATATTGAGGTATTATTAACATGTTATTTTGATTTCTTGAAGGGTTTGTGGAATTTTTTCAAAATCCATGCCATTGAAATGGGCAGCCATGGCCATGATGTGGCCAAAAGTTGTTTACTTTGATCAACTTTTTTCTGATAACGTAATTATCAAAATCCAGGTTTCATGGCAAGGCAGCTTACTTTGTATTACTTGCCTGCCCCCAATAGATTTAAATCTTGACTGTTTGGATTCTTTCAAAAATGAAATAATGCACATAGTGGTGCCAATTAGAATAGTTTTCATGAGTGTTGCCCATGCAGTAATGCAAAGTGGTATCTTTTTTGCTTGAAATAATGTACTAAGTGCTGTCCATTTATGCCAGAAATAATGCACAGGGGAAATAAGTTCTACCTCTATTAACATGGGTGCAAGTTTTCCAGCATGTGCCGGAAGTTCTGGTTTTTCACGTGCCGGAGGGATCATTTTTGCAAATCACGTAAATCCGTTGAGATATTTGGAGGGGTATGGTGCGGGTCTACTCTTTCAAAATGAGAAGTACCACCGATTAGAAGTTCATAATCGAGAACGCTATATAACATAGCGAAGCGTCAATAGTAAACTTTCGCGGAAACTGTTGATAGTTTCCGAAGATATACGAGATGTTTACGAAAACATGTATTATTAATCCCGGCATGCAATTTTATCCGTGAATTTATTACAACGATTTAGATTGGCACGCTAATTATAATCATCCAATGAAAAAGCGGCTTCGTTACCAATTCGGCTACAGAGTAATATGTAAACAGAAAGTATAATTGTACAATTTGTTAGTCAAAATGAAGTTTCTACACGAAGGATTTAATACAAAAGATATCGAGAAGACCTCAAAAAATAAATGGAGATGGGAATGGTTGTTTGTATGTGATCGAAACGGGGATAACTACGGAAACTGGCTGGAAAAGCCAGACGTTCCCGGCGTAGCTTTCTGCACTGTATGTAGAAAATCCATCAAGTATGGATCCAGGGAAAAAAAAAGAATTAAATGCACGCAGACGATCCAAACCATATGAAAAACAAACTTACTGTGAAACATAACCAGGCTTGTTTTAATTATCTTTTTTGAAAACAATTTATTGTTTGTATGGAATCAGGGTCAGCTCAGTCCTAATTAAAACGTAAACTCGGTACAAATCAACTCAATTTTCAATTTATTTATATATTGGTTTGTTTTATCACTCTTTACTGTTGGAACCACAATATTAAATAGTGGAACCAATATATGAATGCACATTTCTTTTTGTGTTGAAATGTTTTTGTTTATATAATTAAGAAAAAGAGAGAGAAAAGAAAGAAATAATTATGTGAGCAATATTTAAGTGAAAATACTATACTACAGTATGTATGTTATCTGGCATGTAATCATTCAAGGGAATTGCATTTTAGGCCTTCAAATGTGCTATAATGCAGGAGCTTCCGGGGGCCGGACCTCCGGCCCCCTGAACTCCTGGCCTGGCGTTGCCCTGGACCCACCGGGGGCCCTGGCGGCCCCCTGGCCCCCAAACAAATAGTTCAGGTTTTTAAAATTTTTTAACTTGCACCCATGTATTAATTAATTATGTTGCAAAATTACAGTATAACAGTTTCAACTAAAGGTAAGAAAATAAACAAAACAAAAATCAGATATATACGTGGGCTATTTCAGGAATGTCAAGATGATAAAGCAGTAGATGAAATCACTGTGGCTACAAAGAGGAATAAGAATATAAAACCAGGAGTATCTGAAATGGAACACCAAGAGGAAGATATGTACATGTCTGACACTGTTACTGAAGACGTGACTAGCAAAATGGTAATGACACCTGTAGAATTCATTTTATTGTATGTATTTGATTAATTCATGTAGTTATAGCATTCTGTACTCTGAAGAACACATTTTCTAAGTGAAAAAGAAAGAATAAAGTTCAATGTTTTATAAGAAACCTATATACTAAATGCATAAAGAATGCATAAAAAAAATTAATTAAAAGACCAAAATATACTAGTTTTTATGTGAGAAATTCTTTTCCTGTATTTTCGTGGCATTCTGTGGGTAAAATTATCATTCCTTAAGTAATATAATATAATAGGTACAAATAAAACTTTGAGGAAGTTAAATTTTTTAACTTGTTCGTTAAAGTCTGTCTCTGAGACAAAAAAGAAATTATTTTTTAAGTGCTCCACTTTTCAAATTAACAGCACTGTAATTTCAGACAGCTCTTGTGGGTAACAGAAATTGTGACAAAACTGTAACAAAATAATCTCTCATATTTTTCATATTTACAAGCCAGGAGAATCAGAAGGTTTTGCTGCAGATATGGATAAAGATGATGATGCTGAATACATTGTACAAATAGATGATCAGTGTAACGAGTCTCAGCCTTCAAAATACAGGCATAGGGCAAGGAGATCTGGTTCCCACGAATCATTGAAGCAGTCAAACTCAGAGAAAAAGGGAAACAGTTCTTCTCAGAAATCTTCATCAGATGGAAGCTTGCATTCTTTGAAAGACGCAGTCACATCATTCGGATCAAAATCAAGATCTAGGACACCAAGTAGACAAAGTTCAAGATCAAATAGCCAGAATAGTGAGGTAAATGATCAGTGATTTATGAATTTTTATTTGTACGAGAATTATTTGATTGAATGTAAGAGTGTTGATGTGAAGGTTTCCTAAATTCATAACATTTATCTGCCATAACTGTAAGATTGATTTAACTATCAAGCTTTATTAGAGGTCAATTACTCTTCCCAAGTGCGAACATGTGTCTTAAATATTGCACCTGATGTTTTATTTCTTTCATTGGTAAAGCTGGAAAGGCACTGTATGACCTTAACATTCTTTGTGTGACTTGCAACCCAGCAACCAAAAAGTATTTGGTGTTTAAACATAGATTGAAGTTATGATGCATAATTTCTGATGTCTTGTTTCACCAAATATGTCAACTTTTATCATTTCCAGATTGAAACAGAACATGTCCCTCTCAAAAGACATTTCAGAGGAGTTAGACCAGAGGTGAGTGAGGGTATCTTAGTCAGGAATTTTAAGCATCTTCATGGAACTTTGATTTGAAATCCAGGGGTTTATGTTCCAATCTTCGGGCGAAGTCAAAACTGTGACACAGATTGTTTAATATTGAGTGTACTGGTTATTTGTCTCTCAGCTGATTGAGAAATTCCTGTTGATTAGTAGTTTGCCACCTGCAGAGAAATTGGTAATAGCTGGTAAGTTTACCAAGAAAACAGGTAGACTGACTACAGAGAAATAACCAGAAAATAGTGAAAAACTAGATTAACAAACAGGCAAATGTTAGAAGTAAATTTCAAAAGAAGCAAATGTTTTAAAGTAGTTTTTATGATAGAGGTTTACTAAATCCTGTTGTATATAGGATTGGACTTGCAGGCAAGTAAATGCTTCAGGAGGATTGGAGGAGATTTAGATGTTTGATCTGATTTTTATTATAATTTATAAATAATTCATTGTTGCAAATTAGCTGTATGGTAATGATAAAAGACAGTGAATCAGCTGTTACAGAATTGTATTTAAGAAAACTTGAGCTTAATTTGATTACATAGGAGGTTACACAGAAATCTGACTGGTCTTTGGTTCTTATTTTATGCCCATTTGTGACACAATTGATGCATTGTTTCAGTTTCAGGCATTAAAATATGACAGTTACTTCGGAACAAGTGGGACAGAAGAGTTGGAGAAATCAGCTATGGCAATATATCAACTGTTTGAGATTTACAGGACTAAGTTAAAGATTGCGCAGAGAAATGTGGGTAATAGAATAGCCTGGCCGGAACCAGTTAAAACTGGTCAACATCAGTCCAGAACTTTAGATATCAAGAGACGAGGAAAGGAGTCTGTTTATATTGAAATGTCAGATTCAGAAGAAGATATTCTGGTAAGACCTACCTCTGTTACCTTGCAGGTTGAATATTTAAAGATATACTATGGTCAAATTTGATATCAGAAATATTAGAAAATATTGATAATTGCTAAACAGACTCTTTGTTAATATAGAATATACATGTTTTGACCTCACACAGAGTAAGTATGTTTAAGAAAAGAACAACTTTGCTTGACCCATACTGCCTCCCATACATAGTTTATTCAAATTTGACATATACAGTAAGAATTTTATAGATTTCAATAAATTTCGATGATTATGATATTTTACTCAAGAAGGGGCATAGTATGTATTTAATATCTGATAATGAACTGTAAGTATGCTAAATTGCAATTTGTTTGCCTTGAATTTGTAAATGTCCATTGATCTTCTGAAGGATTTCAGTACTTTAAAATAGCCCTCCATGTTAAATCTGTTCAATTGAAAAATCCCTACTCTGACCTTTCCAGTGTCTATTCTAGGAGGGGCGATGGGGGGATTCACCCCTATTTTTAAGAAATCACCCCTATTTTTTGAGAGGAAGGGGGAAAATTTTACATAGACAAAGAAGGAAAAAGATCAACAAATGTAATAAATTCTCACTTTTCGATAAAAGTCCCCCCCTGTTTTTCGAATCCTAGAATAGACACTGCCTTTCATTTGGAAAACAATAGATTTAATAATCAGAAACATTGACATATGCTATTTTAGTAACAAATATGTGGTAGTGAAATTCTTATTTTATACACTAATTTGATAATTAGAATTAGACAGGTCAGGGATCTATGCATTTAATATATTTACTGCATAAAACAGACTATATTTATAGTAAACAATATATGTACTACAGTGGAATGATGAGGATTCCATTGAACATTTTAATATAGGCTTGTCAGATGGCCACAACAGCTCAAGGTAAGAAGGATAACAAGATATATTTTTTTTTATGAGATTTAAAGAATTTCAAATTTAGATTAGATTTGGTACTACATTGACTATCAAGCATTATTTTACCTTAATAGAATCTAAATGTAAATTGTCAAGGTAATTTCTTTTTTAAAGGTAATTTGTTTTCTTTTTCCTAGGATACAAAAGTAGGTAGAGGCTTTATAAAGCAGCAGAGGAAGGTAAACAGCAAAGATGAGTTAGCGGAGATTATTATAGATAGCGAGAATAGTAATGAATCTCTGACACACGGACGGTCAACGAGAAACCCGGTAAGATCCAATACAGCGGAAAATGACATTATGTCAGCTGAAACACAACCATATGATATAGATGACAATGATGATGAAGATTTTGTCATTGAAGCAAAAACTAGAGCACGAGGTCGGCCTAGAGCTGGCACAAGTAAAGAAAATTTCACAGGAAAGCAATATGTCACCAATGAAAAGGAAAATAAAGTACGATCCACCAGAGGAAGACCTAGTAAAACATTTAGCTTAAATAGAGAGAAAGTAGCATCTAAGATTTTGGTTGAAGAGACCCAGCAAGAGGAGATGGACTTGCAGGAAGCATTGAAAAGGTCTGAACCTGAAACACAAGTATCTGTTGAGGAAACACAGCCTAGAGATGAAGACTTTGACTGGTTGAATGTTGGTAATATTGATGAAAAAGTAGAATTTGAAAATGAATTACACAAAGCTAATCTTCCAAAGTTTACTAATCAAAAACCTCACCAGATATATACAAAATCTCATCAGAAAGTTGTATTCCAAGAAAGAAATATACAAAAGGACTGTTTAGAAAATGAACAGAGTACTAAAGATAAGTTTAAAGACGATGAAAGGGCAGTGCCAAACAGTGCTAATGATAGAAAGCCAATAGCAAGAGGGAGAAAAAGAAAAGCGAAAAAGCCACCAGTTGTCACTTTGGTAGAGGATACTCAGGATCTTGATGCAGAACAAAGTGGTTGGAATGTATCACAGGGTAAAAGAAAGCGAAACTGTTTCAAGTTGGATAGTGGTTCAGAAGAGGAGAGCATTCCTGAATCGCAAGATTTAGATAAATTGTCCGAACATGGATTAGAAGAAAAAACGGGACCAAACAGGGATTCAGGCAGAACAGATATTGATAATAGCATTATAGATAACATGAAATCCACTGTGACTAATACTAAAGACTTTGTGTCCCCTGAAAAAAATAAAATGTCCGAAGAAAATGATGAAGAAGGCTCTCAGTCACCTATTATTAGTAAAAAGAAATCCTTCAATGGTGTTTCAAAGAAAATATATGCCAAGTCTAATGCCAGAAATAATATAAACTGTGAAGAAGAACCATTTAAGAGGTATAAAGCAAATTCTTCTGAAAAGAAATTTAAAGATGCAAATTCTTCAAATTTAGCTCGGAATCGTAGGGATCAGACATCATTTCAAGATATTAACCTCCAAGAAGAAACTGCTATACCTGAAGGAGTAAAGAGATTTATACAGCGACCTTCAAGTAAAGATTCTAATGTCTCTGATAATGTATCTATAACCAGTAGCCAGATGTCCACAAATATTTTAGATGAAGAAGGGGATTTGTACTCGACACAGTTCTGTGAAATAAAGGCTAGAAAAGGGAAAGGATTTCAGTCTAAAGAAAAATCAAAATGTGATAAGGAAGATTCAGATGAAGAGATTCTTTCACTGGATGTTTCTGAGGATGACCCCCCAGTCTTAAAAAGATCAAAGAAAACCAATGCCATGAAGGAATTTAGTAAAAACGTACCTGCAACTAAAGATTTAAGAACATCAGTAAAAAGAGACCCAAAATTTTCTCGGATGGAGAATATTCAGCGTTATTTTAATAAAGTGAAACAACCCGGTGATGTTGATGTACCTATTGAGTTAGACATAGATTCAGATGAAGATTTAGTTGAACCTGAGAGTACACTGAGAAATAGGAAAAATATTACAACCGGCATTACTGAGCATCATGTAGAACCAAGTGGATTTTCAAATTCAAAGTCAAAATATAGAAATATCTTGAACAAAGGGGGTAAACAAAAGAATTTAAAATCACCAAAATCACCTGTTTCTGACATTGCAACTAAACCAGAAGTAAAAAATGTAAAGGCTGATATTAATGATATGTCAGATGTCTATGATGCAAGTGTTCAATATAGAAATGATTTAAGTAGATCAAAACATCAAGTAGAAGACACTGATTCAGATATGATTGATCCACAAGATGTTCTGAACGATTTAGATAATGTATCTGGTAAAGAGAGGCACATATTTAATGAAAATATTAGCAGATCAAGATGTGGAACTAGAAATATTGAGACTGATACTGGATTGTTTGAGGGAAGACCTTTTAGAAATAGGAGGAGAAATGTCTCCGAGACTGTTTCCAGTACAGAACATGAAGAAAGAAGTAAAGGGTCAACCAGGGCCAGAATTAGAAACCAAGATAATTCTGAGGAAACAGGTCATGTAAGAAATGATGGAAGGAAGAGGGTAAAAGATCCTAACATTTCAGATGAAGACCCAATAGGAAAGAAGAAGGTATGTTTTACATGCTTTAGATTTCACTCGTATAGCAGTGTACCTTATTTTGCCTGGTATTTTAACAGCATTCCTAATTTTCCATTGTATTTTGTTGATGTTTTGACCAGTAAATGCTTTAGGATTGTTTTAAGATAAACTTAATGCCAGGGTTATTGAAAACAAATTCTATATTATGATGCACTGTATATGATTTACAGAAAACAGTTGCAGTAAAATCAACTTTTTAAAATGTTCAGTTAATGATTTTTAAGCAAACTTTATTCATGGTCATTTTGTAATCAAAACTTAGATAACTAAGATTCTAATTTCTAATAGTTAATATCTGGTGGAAAATTTAAGATTGTTGCAAGTATATTGTGTTATTACAGATAGAGAAATTAGAGTGTCCTATGTGCAGCAAAATGTTTCCTGTCAGTATCGTAGAGCAACATGCAGCAACTTGTGAAGGTCTTGTAGATGAAGATGAAATTGATGGTATGTGTGTTTTTGCTCAATTATTCAAAAATAAGTGGGGTTATCCTACTCAACTTTACATGTAACTTCTTGTATGACATATTTCGTCAACCAAGTGGTTAAGGTCGTTGACTTCAAACCACTTGCCCCTCACCGCTGTGGGTTCGAATCCCGACAGGGACTTTGGATTCTTTCATGTGAGGAAGCTATCCAGCTAGCTTACGGAACGTCGGTGGTTCTACTCAGGTGCCCGTTTGTGCCTGAAATAATGCACGGAAGGGCACCTGAGGTCTTCCTCCACCAGTAAAGCTGGAACGTCGCGATATGACCTATACTGAACGTCGGTGGTTCTACTCAGGTGCCCGTTTGTGCCTGAAATAATGCACGGAAGGGCACCTGAGGTCTTCCTCCACCAGTAAAGCTGGAACGTCGCGATATGACCTATACTGTGTCGATGTGACGTAAAACCCAAAACAAAACAAAATTTCGTCAACCGCTAAAGATATTTTGTTGTAACTTCTCATGTGTCTTTGAGATTATAATAGGTCACTTTTTTTTAGCTCACCTGAGCACGAAGTGCTCAAAGGTGAGCTTTTGTCATCACTCTGCGTCCGTCGTGCGTCGTGCGTCCTTCAAAAAATGGCGTCAAACTTTTCAAACAACATCTCCTCCTAAACTACATGGCCAATTGCAACCAAACTTTACAGAAATGATCCTTAGGTGGACCCCTTTCAAAGTTGTTCAAAAATTTAAATTCCATTAAAAACTCTGGTTGCCATGGCAACCAATAAGAAAAACTTAAAAAATCTTCTTCTAAAAAACCATAAGAGCTAGAGCTTAGATATTTGGCATGAAACATCTTCTAATGAGTGCCTACCAAGTTTGTTCAAATCAAAGCCCTAGGGTCAAAATTGGCCCCGCCCCAGGGGGTCATTGATTTTCCCTATATGCATATAGTAAAAACTAAAAAAATCTTCTTTTAAAGAACTCAAAGAGCTAGAGCTAAGATATTTAGCATGAAACATGTTCTAATAGGTGTCTACCAAGTTTGTTCAAATAAAAGCCCTGGGGTCAAAATTGGCTCCGCCCCGGGGGTCATTGATTTTCCTTATATGTGTATAGGAAAAACTTAAAAAATCTTCTTTAAAAAAACCCAAATAGCTTGAGTTTAGCTATTAAGCATGAAACATCTTCTAGTGAGTGTCTACAAGTTTGTTCAAATCAAAGCCCTAGGGTCAAAATTGGCCCCGCCCCAGGGGGTCATTGATTTTCCTTATATGACTGTGTATAGCAAAAACTTAAAAATCTTCTTTGAAAAAACCCAGATAGCTAGTGTTTAGATGTAAAGCATGAAACATCTTCTGGTGAGTGTCTGCCAAGTTTGTTCGAGTAAAAGCCCTATGGTCAAAATTGGCCCCGCCCCAGGGTGTCTTTGATTTTCCCTATATGCATATAGTTAAAACTTAAAAAATCTTCTTTTAAAGAACCCAAAGAGCTAGAGCTAAGATATGTAGCATGAAACATCTTCTAATGAGTGTCTACAAAGTTTGTTCAAATAAAAGCCCTAGGGTCAAAATTGGCCCCGCCCCCGGGGGTCATTGATTTTCCCTATGTGCATATAGTAAAAACTTAAAAAATCTTCTTTTAAAGAACTCAAAGAGCTAGAGCTAAGATATTTAGCATGAAACATGTTCTCATGGATGTCTACCAAGTTTGTTCAAATAAAAGCCCTGGGGTCAAAATTGGCCCCGCCCCGGGGGTCATTCATTAGCTTGACTTTTTTTTTTGTTAGATATATACATATTATATATATACACATATAAATTTAATATTTATATATAAAATATATATAATATATAAATATATATATATATATATATATATAAATGTATATATTCACACATATCTTCACTTACGGGGCCCATATATAAGACCGAGTTGAGTGGCATTATTTCATGCAGTCAATTTTTATATACGCCACTATATAGGCCTATAATGAACATTTCCATACAACAGAACTAAGGGGTACTAAGTTATATATATAAAACTATATATTTGATTTTACCATAGGTGAAAACATATTGACCAATAACATAAAACCCCATAATAAATATATACATTTGTGGGACATATATCATTTACTACTAAAACCGGCCTACGGGCACTATGTTAGAAGGGTAGCCTACGCCCCCATACATCGTTTTAAACATGCCAGAGTTGCGAGGCCTTATGTATGCCCCACATTAAATATACACCCCACAAGTATGGTCTCAAATAGAGCGATGCCCGTAAATGGAGGAATGTGTTTGTATATATATATATATAGATATATATATATATACATATATATATACATATTATGTATATATATATATGATATATATATGTATGTATGTATGTATATTATATATATATATATATATATATATATATGTATATATATATGTATATATATATATATGTATATATATATATGTATATATATATATATATATATATATAATATATATATATATATATACATGCATACATATACAACCAAGTTTGTTCAAATAAAAGCCCTGGGGTTAAAACTGGCCCCGCTCCAGGCCTATATACAGGTGAGCGACTTTGGGCCATCATGGCCCTTTTGTTTTTTTATCCAAAAATCCTGCAAATTGTTTTGAAAGTTTGTTTTGATGATTTCTAGATCAAGTTGGAATATGGGTCACCTGGGGTCAAAAACTTATTTATTTATTATTTATTTATTGCTCGGATGAGTTCGATAGGTCATGGTGAGCGATCTAGGGCCATCTTGGCCCTCTTATTTAACGGTGACTGGCCATGATCTGAGGTAATGAAATTTTGTATATGTACCAAACATGTTTTGTTGTTTTGAGTTATAATATTGCTATCTTTCAAATGCTTAACTGTAGACATTATTACTTTGCTACATTATAGGTCCAATGAATGAAGAAGAATATATAGCACATATCACCGAGCACCATCCAAATGTGACAGAGGAGGAACAGACTGAAGCCCTCCCACAAAGACAACTGCCTCACAAACACACTGCCAGGCAAGACAAGCATTCACCACACCAGCAACACATGCATCTACATGATCGTGATCATGATCCGAGTCACACTGCAGCTGTACATACTCGTCATCCTTGTCCTTCAGAAGCTTTACATGGACATGAATCTGTTGATGAAGCTGTCGGTCGTTTTGTACATCATGGTAAAGTTTATATATTTAAGTTTACTAAAGATTATGTAAGGCAAAAAAATTATAAAAGGAGTGGAGATCTAGTTATGTCAGATGTAAGTTTGTAAAATAGATAGCTTTTTATTTAAGTGCATAATTGTCGTAAAACCTAGCAGTATCATTGTATTTGCACGAGTTATGTGACAAATTATTTTTGCTTTTTAGCTCACCTGTCACAAAGTGACAGGGTGAGCTTTTGTGATCACTTTTCGTCCAGCGTCCGTCCGTCGTCCGTAAACTTTTACTTTAAATGACATCTCCTCATAAACCACTAAGCCAATTTCATCCAAACTTCACAGGAATGTTCCTTTGGTGGTCACCTTTGAAAATTGTTTCAAAGAATTTAATTCGATGCAGAACTCTGAAGAAAAAACTTTAAATGCCTTCTTCTAAAAAACCCAAAGAGCTAGAGCATAGATATTTGGCATGAAACATCTTCTAGTAAGTGTCTACCAAGTTTGTTCAAATAAAAGCCCTGGGGTCAAAATTGGCCCCGCCCCAGGGGGTCATTGATTTTCCCTTTATGTATATAGTAAAAACTTAAAAAATCTTCTTTTAAAGAACCCAAAGAGCTAGAGCTAAGATATTTAGCATGAAACATCTTCTAATGGGTGTCTACCAAGTTTGTTCAAATAAAAGCCCTGGGGTCAAAATTGGTCCCGCCCCAGGGGGTCATTGATTTTTCCTATATGCATATAGTAAAAACTTAAAAATCTTCTTTTAAAGAACCCAAAGAGCTAGAGCTAAGATATTGAAACGCAGTCGGGGTCTGCTTCCCAAACACGCAACAATATCCAGGACGTGAGTTCTTCTCGAACGCACGTGGAGTATTAAAAATTGAACCTACAAGGGAAAAACAGAACACAAAAGCCTGAAATAAAAGTACACAAATAATTTATTTAGATTTCATATCAAATACAGTTAAATTCGTAAGTATCTGGAAAATCCTCGTCAATGGGCCACGTCTGGAAGGGTTAGTGATAATCCTCGTCTTATAGGCTGTGAACTAAACCAAAGAATAGCTATATCAATGTAAAGTAGCTAAGTATGACATCCAAGTTATATGTGGATCTATATGGTTTATAATAAACTGTCTAATTATATTGGTTCATATAAATATATCTACATTAAAAGGGGTGATTATACTAGTAGTTCCATGGTAGCTGGAACTTCAGGATGGAATCTATGATAAAATACCATGGAAGCTGGTATTTATAGGTATTTCTCTATTATGTCACATCAAACAATACAATTGGAGTAAAATAAACTGTCAGGAAAATATAATTATCTGAGGTTAATAATCTAGGCACAATAAAACTGTCATAAATAATTATATTACCTTGGAATAAGGAGTTGCTGGCATTTTCTAGGTTGTAATCGGCTTGATTACTATTCTAAGTTCTATCCAGGCACTGACAGCCGGATTGCATGCGCCAGAGTATTTATAGTATCAGGGGTCAGGCATCTACGTCATATAGCCGATGACGTCAGTGCCAGAATTTAGCCCAAGCCGGCTCTGTTTCGGACAAGCGTGAACGATAAAGTCCGTTACATTCGGAACGGCTGAACTTGTACATGCGCGAACGGTAAAGTCCGTTAAATTCGGAATGGCTGCAGCCGGGAAACTAATTGATTATTAAACGTGTTTATTACGTATTTTATGGATATATAAAATGAAATTGGACTATAATAGCGCACTGGATATATTTACATATGTAAAAGGTATTGATTCACGAAGGGAATCTTGGTTGTCATTTATTCGGAGACCGGGAAAGATCTCCGATGTTTGTAGTGTAGTAGTAGTCGGATAAAACATCTTATCCGAAAATATCAATGAGCTAGGTACTTGGTCGTTACAATATTTAGCATGAAACATGTTCTTATGGATGTCTACCAAGTTTGTTCAAATAAAAGCCCTGGGGTCAAAATTGGCCCCGCCCCAGGGGGTCATTGATTTTCCCTATATGAATATAGTAAAAACTTAAAAATCTTCTTTTAAAGAACCCAAAGAGCTAGAGCTAAGATATTTAGCATGAAACATGTTCTAATGGATGTCTAAGTTTGTTCAAATGAGAGCCCTGTGGTCAGAATTGGCCCCGCCCCAGGGGACATTGATTTTCCTGATATGTGTATAGCAAAAACTTAAAAATCTTCATGGAAAAAACCCGAATGGCTAGAGTTAAGATATTAAGCATAAAACATATTCTAGAGAGTGTCTACAAATATTGTTCAAATAAAAGCCCAGGGGTCAAAACTTGCCCAGCCCCAGGGTGTCATTGTTTTTAAATATATGTGTGAAGAAAAAACTTAAAAAAATCTTCTTTTAAAAAACCCAACGAGCCAAACCTTAGATACTTAGCATGAAACATCTTCTAATAAGTGTCTACCAAGTTTGTTCAAATAAAAGCCCTGGGGTTTAAACTGGCCCCGCTCCGGCGGGCCAATATACAGGTGAGCGACTTCAGGGCCATAATGGCCCTCTTGTTTGTAGGTATTTTTGATTTTCATTATATTTATATTTTTTTCTTATTTTATGGTACTTTTAATGATAGATTTCCAGATTTATCTTGAATTAGGTAGATTAAACATATTAATCAAATTTCAAAACAAACTTGAATAGTCTGACTTGTCTTGACAAAGAATTAAGATTTCAGATATAGGTCAGGATGAAAATTCATGCTGAGCATTCATTATTGGAGTTTTACCAATTTTCAAATGGTTGAGTAACTAAAATTGCTCACAATAAATAGGCATGGGATGTTGCAAAAAAAAAGTATTGGATATGGTTTTGACATTACTATAGCAAGTACACTTATTTCCTCATTTGTTACAGATGAACATGTGATAGACGTTGCTAAACATTTAAGCAGCAGTCCTGGTGAAGAAGGGTATGCGATTTTAAATCTTAAACAAATTTTTAAAACCAGGATTATTTCTGATAAATATTATTCAGAATATTACTGGTATAATTAAATAAATTTTTATGCCCCCGCCATGTAATGGCCGGGGCATATAGTGTTACCTTGTTCCGTCATTCCGTCCTTCCGTCCTTCTGTCATTCCGTCATCATCAGTTTCCTTTCATTATCTTAAGAACGGTTGGACATATTCAACTCAAATTTGACATATGGATATGTCATGAGAAAATACAGGTCAAGTTAGAATTTGGACATGGTTCGATGATTTTTGGCAGAGTTATGCCCCTTTTACTTTGAAAATAATATGAAATTTCAGTTTCCGTTCATTATCTTAAGAACGGTTGGACACATTCAATTCAAACTTGACATATGGATATGTCATGAGAAAATACAGGTCAAGTTCGAATTTGGTTATGGTTCGATAATTTTTGGCAGAGTTATGCCCCTTTTACTTTGAAAAAAATATGAAATTTTCAGTTTCCGTTCATTATCTCCCCAATGGTACAACACAATCAACTCAAACTTGACATATTGATATGTCATGAAAAAATACAGGTCAAGTTCGAATTTGGTCATGGTTCGATGATTTTTGGGAGAGTTATGCCCCTTTTACTTTGAAAATAATATGAAATTTTCAGTTTCCGTTCATTATCTCCCTCAAGGTACAACACATTCAACTCAAACGTGACATATGGATGTGTCAAAGGAATGCGCAGGTCAAGTTCAAATTTGATCATGGTTCAATGATTTTTGGCAAAGTTATGCCCCTTTCACTTTGAAAGTAATATGAAATTTTCAGTTTCCGTTTATTATCTCCCCAATGGTACAACACATTCAACTCAAATTTGACATATGGATATGTTTTTGGAATGCCCAGGCCAAGTTGGAATTTGGTCATGGTTCAATGATTTTTGGCAGAGTAATGCCCCTTTCACTTTGAAAATAATATGAAATTTACAGTTTCTGTTCCTTATCTACCCAACAGTGTCACATATTCAACTTTAATTTGACATATGGATATGTCAAAGGAATGGGCAGGTCAAGTTGGAATTTGGTCATGGTTTGATGATTTTTTGGCAGAGTTATGTCTCTTTCACTTTGAAAATAATATAGATACATCTTAGGAATAAGCAGTTTAAGTTTGAATTTGGTCATGGTTCAATGATTTTAGACAAACTTATCTTTCCTGAATGTTGGAAAAATTTTGAACTTTCAGTTTCACCACTCATTCTTTTAGCCATTATTTTGGCTACAAATATGCAATATGCTATTTCTAAAAGGTTAAGACTGAATAATTTCAGTGCTTTGAACGTTGTATGGAAATGGTTTGTGTTAACATTGAAAAGTTTTAAGGGCTTTGAACCTAAAATGAAAAAAATAATTAATGCACCATCTGAAATTTTGGCTGCATGCGGGGGCATCCGTGGCATGATGACACATTTCTAGTCAAATCTTTGTTCTCATTCATTATCTGTACCGTGCTGCCTTTAAAGGTTGAAACATCAGAATTGCAGCCACTGTTTATCCTTGCTTGGTCGTAAAGGCAGATCAAATTATTAGTCTATGCATCTTTTAGCTCCAGCAAGTGAGGTGGAATTGACACAGGTGTTGCTTTATGTTTGTTACACCCGAGGTTAGCCAAATCATCTTATCTCTTTGGGGTCATATGGTGTACATGTAAATTGTGTTGGTTGGCCATAAAATCCAAACAAAACATCTGTGTATGCAAAGATAATAATGTCTTTTGTAATGAAAAATATTCGTCTGATCCCTTTCTGCCAGTAAAGCCTTGAAGCGATAAAAACCATTAATTTATAAATTAATTTTGATAATTTTTGTCGTTGTATAGTTTTTAGTTGGAGTACACATACTTTTTTTTTCACTTACAATGATTTCAGCATCTGTTATTTGTGTGATACACAAATAAATGCCATTTTTCAGGGAGTTGCAGACTTGTTACATTTGCGATGAACAAGTTCTGAAAGGAAAACTATTTGAAGTTCATGTTAGTCGATGTTTAGCTATAGCTGCTCAACAGCAGGCCGAGGTGGATGAAAAGGGTTTTAGTAATGTCTATGTCGAACCTGAACCGGAAGAAGAGGTTAAAGTTCGAACCTTGAGGGGACGTCATGTCAGCAATGACCGGGGTAATACACCTGGTAGAGGTGGGGCGCCCAGAGGGAGACAGATGGCAGACGGTTCCCCTGGTGATAGAAGGCGTCACAAACGAGAAATATGTGTCGAGAGTCGAGGTGCCGGAGATGGTGAGGAAGAGAGTGGACCAAGTTTGCGGACTGAAGCTCGTGAAGTGGGAACATTTAAACGTGGGTTAACAAAGCGCACAAATAAGAAGATGGCACAGAATGATGATGGGTACAATTCAGGTTTATCCTACTGTTTAAGTTTGTTATATTAGTTTGTTATATTTCTAGTTCACCTTAGCATTTTATATTCAGAGAAGAGTTTCTATGGTTTCAAACTCACCAGAGCACAAAAAGCTTTTGTCTGGCATCTATCTTGTGTTGGTCGTAAATTTTTCACTTTTATTTAAGAAATCAAGCGGTATAAAGGCTTATTCCATAAGGGAAGCAGTGGTCAAGTGGTTAAGGTGTCTGCCTCTCAGTCCAGGGATCATGGGTTCGAGCCTTACTTGGGTCACTACCATGTTTCTTCATACGACACCAGTATTGGTTGGTTCCAGGAAGCAGACTCGAAAGTGATAAATATAAGTAGCAAGAACTTGTTTAGCAATTAAACTTAAATAGATATGTTTAAACCAAAGGCTTATTCCTCTGCCTATTAATAATCATGATAAGTTGGGACATGTAGCATTTAATTTCATCAAAGATTTAATTTCCCTGTACTGTCTTTAGTACTAAATGTGTGACATCTGTGGCTGAGTTTGTAAGGTTATTGACTTCAAACCACTAGCCCCTCACCACTGAGGGTTGAATCACATTTTTTCATGTGAGGAAGCTGTCCAGCTTACACAGGGTTCCTACAGTCTTAAAAAGTGCTTAAATTTGAGTCCCTTTCTTAAAAAGTGCTTGAAAATGTAAAAAAGTGCTTAAAAGTCCTTGAATTTGCTTACTGTCTTGAAAAGTGCTTAAAAAGTGCTTAAATTTGCTGAAATATATGTGAAAATGATTTAATGACATAGTGTCAATAAAAATCAACAGTAAACAAAATCAAAAGAATGATCCAATTAAGGATCAAAATCAAAGAAATGTTTGCTCAACATAACAGTAAGTCAGGACAAATTATAGTTGTTTTGAACTAATCTGTATTTGATGCGCCCTTTGTTGTTCTATAAAATCTTTAAACTATGGCCAGAAAATGTGCATTCAACATAAAATGGCAAATAAACTATACTTCTTACATTGAAGATTGTATCGATATATGTGTAACAAATGTGCTTGAAAAATGGGAAAACGTTCTTAAATAGTGCTTAAAAAGTCCTTGAATTTTGGCATTGGATGTCTGTATGAACCCTGTTACAGAATGTTGCATACATTTGAACACTCCCACTTTTAGCGGGAGACTGCCACTTTCTGCAGCCATATTTTCAAAGATTTTTCTTAAAATAATGGGTATTTCACAAATTAAAGAAATTTACCTTTTTTGATATCTGAACTTTCTTTGTTTATTGCAAATTCTAAAATTTCCCTCTTTTTGAAGAAAAATCACCCACTTGATCATCGAAAATAGTTCACATGTATGATGTTGTCACATCTGTGCCTGAAATAATGCACAGAAGGGACCTGAGGTTTTCCTCCACCAGTAAATCTGGAAAGATGCTATATGAGCTGAACAGTGTTGGTGCAACGTTAAACCAACAAAAATAACAAAAAGAACAATTACTAAATGCATAATATTTAACTCACAAAGGGTTTAGATTGCTATATTGTTAATGTTTTAATTCATCTACTGTTATTTGTAAGTATGTTTTGGATTAGGTCATTAGCATCACAGAAGAATTTAATTTTTTTTACAAAGATATTAATTGATTACATACAGTATACTTTGATTATAATGTATATCTACAGTATTATACATGTATGTTTCAGGTCAGGTCATCATGGAAGACATTGAGGATGATAGTGTGAGTGGGAGTAGTTGGTAAGATCAGTTATACTTGACAATAACTTCTGAATTGTTTATAAGAATTTGTCATAATTATATGACCTGAATAGCATTGTTACAACTTAAAAAACCAATGAATATAATATTACCTTGTTACAAGGAAATGTTGTCTCAATGGGCAATTGGTTAAAGTCACTGACCTTATTACTTGGTTGTCAAGGCTATGATTGTGATAATATCCCAGAAATTACTTTTAATGGATTACTTTCAAATGAGAAAGTTTTCCATGTAGCATACCAGAAAATGATGGTAGTTAACTTCGCATACCTACTCTAGCCTTCAAGGCACCTGTAAAGCTTTATGTTAATTATACCCCCGAAACTAAGTTTGAGTGGGGGGGGGGGGGGGGTATATAGAAGTCATCCGGTGGTCGGTCGGTTGGTCCAGCGATCCATTGCATTTTCCTTGTCCAAAGCATAACTTGAAGACTAATGGTTGGAATTCAATATAACTTCATACAATGGTCAAGCACATTGAGAGGAAGTGCAGTGCACAAGAACCATAACTCTATCTAAAGTAATTACAGAGTTATTGCCCTTTGTTACTTTTCCATTGCTTTTTTTGTCCGGAGCATAACTTGAAGCCAAATTGTTGGAATTCAGTATTATTTCATACAATGGTCAAGCACATTAAGAGGAAGTGCAGTGCACAAGAACCATAACTCCATCTTGACTAATTACAGAGTTAATGCCCTTTGTTACTTTTTCTTGCCCGGACCATTACTTGAAAACTACTGGTTGGAATTCAATAGAACTTCATACAGTTGTCAAGCACATTAAGAGGAAGTGCAGTGTACAAGAACCATAACTCCATTTTGACAAATTACAGAGTTATTGCCCTTTGATATTTTTCCTTGTCCAGAGCATTACTTAAAACATACTGGTTGGAATTCAAAACAACTTCATACAATGATCAAGCACAATAAGAGGAAGTGCAATGCACAAGAACTATAACTCTATCCAGAGTTATTGCCCTTTGTTACTTTTCCATTGCTTTTTTCTTGTCCAGACATAACTTGAAAACTTCTAGTTGGAATTCAATACTATTTCATACAATGGTCGGAAGCGCAGTGTACAGAAATCATAACTCTTTCTTGACTCATTTAAAAGTTTTTGCCCTTTGTTACTTTTTATTGTCCAGTGCATAACTTGAAAATTAATGGTTGGAATTCAATAAAACTTTATACAATGGTCAAGGGCAGTGAGATGAAGTGCAGTACACAAGAACCAAAACTCTATTTGGACTAATTACAGTAATTGCCCTTTGTTACTTTTTTTTCCTGTGCATAACTTGAAAACTTGTAGTTGGAATTCAATACAACTTCATACAATGGTCAAGTGCAATGAGAGGAAGTGCAGTGTACAATAACCATAACTCCATCTTCAGTATTTATAGAGTTATTGCCCTTTGTTCTTTTTCCTTGTCTTTCTGGACTTATTGCAGAGTAATTCAATAAAACTTCATCAATGGCCAACCACATTGAAAGGAAATGCAACATACAAGAACCACAAATATCTTTTATTGCCCACAACCATAACTCGATTTCAATTCTTTTGCAAGGTATTCTGTTACTAGAAACATCCTCATTTCCGAAGCAGAAGCAGTCTTGCGGAGGTATTAATCACATTTAGTGATAGTTTTAGTTTTAATCAGAGTTAATTTCTCTGGTCATACTGTATAAGGACACTTTGCAAACAATTTCTCATAGCTGTCATTATTTGTTCTTACAGTGTAGAGATTGCCTTTGATATTGTTAGAATTAAATTATTTCAAACTGTTAAACTATTAAAAGAAAGTATGTTCTTAGTTCTTTTAGCATATAGAATGGACAGGGCTTTTTTTTTTCGAAACATTTTATTGAAAGACTATGTGTATAGTTATTCGTCTTCCTCGGTAGATTGAAAATATTAATACAGAGCATCTGCAAGAAAACTCAATGATATAAGATGGTTGAATTTGATGAGGAAAAGTTAATAATTGCAGGCCTGTATATAATCATAAATAAATTTGAATAAATTTTCTGTTTATCAACTGATTTTCTTTAACAGTGAATGGTGATCTCCAGATCAATGTTTATGTATTTTCAGGGAAGAAAGCAGCTCCATAGATTCTTCAGATGATGATAACATAACCCTTGCTTCTGTTGTCAAGTCTGGTTCCAATGCTTTAATAACTGGGCCATGGAATAAAAATAACCAGTCAAATAAAAATTGTGTAAACCAGTCCAGAAATAGTAACGATGTTCCTGATTGGGTAAGAAGCGGTATAAACTCACCAATCAAATCATTTGTTCCAATTTCACAACAAGAGGATTCTGAATATTTTCAAAAACAATTTAGTTACAAAAAAGACAAAGTAGAAAGTAGAATGAACAAAAGAAAGAGATCAAGTAAAGGTGGTCAGAAAAGACGAAGAAAAAGACGAAAAGTTCAAAGAACAAAAAAGAAATGAGGGGAAAAATGAAAATTATGTGCATGCAAATGAATGTTTTGTTACAAATGATGTTATTGTTGAAACAATTTAAAAGCTCATTTATGCCAGTTTCGAGTTTAGTTGATCCGTTATGTTGATATTTGCTATTATAATCAATTGTTTCAAGAAGTTGCGTTTGTTGTTATTACGTAATTTACTTTGTGTACCAGTTTAAGACACAGGCACGAGTATTGGACCTGGGATGAAAATATATGACCAGATTGATAATAAAACCTGTGTTCATCTTAAAAGTGTCAAAAACCAAAAAAAAAATTGTAAAAAATGACCCCCTTTAAAATATACTATAAGTTAGAGAAGGCCGAAAACTCCAGATTCGAGTCTACGAGCAAGGGATTCATTTCCCGAGCCGTTGTGAAAACAATTGGCCAGACAATTAAAAAAGACTTTTATCACTATTTCACGTTTGTATTAAGCTTCCAAATGAGACCGACCCCAAGTCTCTAGCCCTTCCCGTTCATGAAATATCTATCGGGAAACGAGCGAATTCGTGCTAAAAATCCTTGGTAGACAGAATTGCGGCACAACGATTCGGTACGTAAACATAGACTAATACATGTTTGTCAGCTGAGTACGGGTCAAAATCACTTGAATTTACTAAATAATATTACTAAATACATTAAGTTGGACCACTCACACCCGTCAGTAGCATCTGATACACGTAAAATTCGAATTTCAAACCTTTCCACGGTATTTAGATTCCTTTCAACGCCATTGTCAATCAGCTGTTCGATATTTTGTAACGAGTCTTCTGATTGGCCAATAGCAACGAAACCGCAACGTTTCACACAAGGATGCATAATGGCGTAGAAAGCGATTGAAAGACCGTGTAAATGTTTGAAACTCGAATCTCGTGTGTATCAGGTGTACTCTTAACTTATAGTATATTTTAAAGGGGGTCATTTTTTGGGGGGTTTTTTGACACTTTTAAGATGAACACAGGTTTTATTATCAATCTGGTCATATATTTTCATCCAAGGTCCGATACTCGTGCCTGTGGTTTAAGAAAGGTAATGTGTCCTTTCAGTATCTCCATTAAGTTTTTATATATAAAAAAAAATAGCAAAGTTTAATTAAAACAGAAATCTGGACAAAGAGTTTGACTTTGATACAGTTAACAGTACCAAGGTATGTTTTTTTATAATGAACTTTATTTGAGCCTATGCAAGTGTTTATTTTACTAGCGAAGACATTTTATGGTGTAAATGTTCAAACATAAGATGGTCTATACTTTGAGTAACCTGTTTTTAACATTAAATTAAATGCATTTAACATTGAACATAATTTAGCAAATAGAGAATCCATGAAATCACTACGTTTTACACACATATGGACTCTATTTTCAGTCAATGTGTCAACTTTGTTCTCGTGATAACTTGTTATTGTCCCCCGCCTTTTCAAAGAAAAAGGGGATATAGAAATAGGCTCTGTCCATCTGTCTGTCCGTCACACTTTCGTGTGCGGTCCATAACTTTGTCATTTATCAAAAGAATTTGAAATAACTTGGCACAAATGTTTGTTATAATAAGACGATGTGTCATGCGCAACAATCTGACCCCTGTCTCCAAGGTCAAGGTCGCTCTTGAGCATTCAAGGTCAACATTGTCTATTTGAGGGTATATGTCCTGTCCGGTTCATAACTTTATTATCTTTTAAGGGATTTTGTAAATACTTGCCACAATTGCTCAGAGTAATGAGAACATGTGTCCTGCGCAACAACCAGTCACCTACCTCCAAAGTCAAGGTCGCACTTTGGAGGTCAAATATTAACATAGTCTGTTACAGGTTATATTTCATGTCCGGTCCATAACTTTGTCATTTATCAAAGGAATTTGAAATAACTTGGCACAAATGTTTGTTAAAATAAGACGATGTGTCATGCGTACAATCTGACCCCTACCTCCAAGGTCAAGGTCGCACTTGCTCATTCAATGTCAACATTGTCTATTTGAGGGTATATGTAGTGTCCTGTTTATAACTTTCTTATCTTTGAAGGGATTTTGTAAATACTTGCCACAATTGTTCACAATAATGAGATGATGTGTAATGCGCAACAATAGGTCACCTACCTCCAAGGTCAAGGTCACACTTTGAGGTAAAAGATTAACATAGTCTGTTTAAGGGTATATTTTGTGTTCGGTCCATAACTTTTTAGCTCACCTGTCACAAAGTGACGGGATGAGCTTTTGTGATCGCTTTTCGTCTGGCGTCTGTAAACTTTTACTTTAAATGGCATCTCCTCATAAACCACTGAGCCAATTTCATCCAAACTTCACAGGAATGTTCCTTTGGTGGTCACCTTTAAAAATTGTTGAAAGAATTTAATTCCATGCAGAACTCTGGTTGCCATGGCAACCGATAGAAAAAACTTAAAATATCTTCTTTTAATAAACCCAAAAAGGTAAAGCTTAGATATTTGGCATGAAACATCTTCTAGTGAGTGTCTATCAAGTTTGTTCAAATAAAAGCCCTGGGGTCAAAATTGGCCCCACCCCGGGGGTCATTATTTTTTTCCTATATGCATATAGTAAAAACTTTAAAAAAATCTGCTTTTAAAGAACCCAAAGAGCTAGAGTTTAGATATTTAGCATGAAACATCTTCTAATGGGTGTCTACCAAGTTTGTATAAATAAAAGCCCGGGGGTCAAAATTGGCCCCGCCCCAGGGGGTCATTGATTTTCCCTATATATGCATGTACAAAAATGTAGTAAAAACTTATAAAATCTTCTTTTAAAGAACCCATAGAGCTAGAGCTAAGATATATAGCATGAAACATCTTCTAATGGGTGTCTACCAAGTTTGTTCAAATAAAAGCCCTGGGGTCAAAATTGGCTCCGTCCCAGGTGGTCATTGATTTTCCATATATGCATATAGTAAAAACTTATAAAATCTGCTATTAAAGAACCCAAAGAGATGGAGCTAAGATATTTAGCATGAAACATGTTCTTATGGGTGTCTACCAAATTTGTTCAAATAAGAGCCCTGGGGTCAAAATTGGCCCTGTCCAGGGGGTCATTGATTTTCCTTATAATTATGTGTATAGCAAAAACTTTAAAAAAAATCTTCTTTGAAAAAACCCAAATAGCTAGAGTTTAGATACTAAGCATGAAACATCTTCTAGTGAGTGTCTACAAAGTTTGTTCAAATAAAAGCCCTTAGGTCAAAATTGGCCCCGCACCGGGGGTCATTAATTATTTCATGTGTATAGCAAAAACTTAAAAAGTCTTTGAAAAAACCCAATAGCTAGAGTTTAGATATTAAGCATGAAACATCTTCCAGTTAGTGTCTACAAAGTTTGTTCAAATAAAAGCCCTAGAGTTAAAATTGGCCCTGCATCAGGGGGTCATTGATTTTCCTTATATGTGTATAGCAAAAACTTAAAAATCTTCTTTGAAAAAACCCAAATAGCTAGAGTTTAGACTTTATTAAGCATGAAACATCTTTAGACAGAATTGATCTGGAGTTCTGGAAATGCCAAATGTCATTATTATGTTCAACATTTTTATCCCAAGGAATGGCAGAATTGTGAATAATTCACATTACGAGGTCTGGATGCCATCACATACCAAATCATTTTAAAATCACCCAGGAATGACTGCAAAGTCAACTGGAAACGAACTTCACTGCACTTTTATGATAAATACATGCACTTCCATGACAAATTTCCTTTTAAGTCTTCATTTGACCATGAACGTCCCCTGCCTCAGTGACGTTTTATATGAAGCATAAAATTGTGCTATTTCAAAAGATTGAGGTATGGATCTAAGGACTTTCAGTCCAAAATTATGATCAATGCTAGATCTGTAAATGCAACAATAAATTTATTCAATTCCATACTTATCAATGAAATATTGATGAAATAAAATAGGTATTTTCATTTCCCTTATTTTCTCTTTAAAAATATATTTTTCACTGCAGTGAAACTAATTTTCGTATTTTCACTGACTACTTCTAAATTCAGCCATGAGGAAATCTTTCAAATTGTAAAAATAGTAAGAAAACTGTATATAAGAACAGAAAATTCAAGTTGTTTTCGATAAATACAGGTTTTATTTTTCATTTTGCTGTCGCCACTCATAAAATATTTATTTTCATACCACTCATGAAAATAAATCCTGCGTTTATAGATCCTTTATTTATTTTACTGCACATAATTATCATGTTTAAAGATAACATGATGATGCCTGCCTTTCCATTTCACCCGTAAGATTTCTTGTATTGAATACTTTCAATCGCTTATTTCATTCACGTTACAAGTCCATACCGGTTTAGATCCAATTATACTTCAAAAGTAAGAGTGGAGAGTGACCGACTCCTAGGAATTTTGTCGGAGACTTGAGATAAAAAATTTTTTTAACTCGCTTCATTACCACGAGTCCTGGTTGTAGTAACATGATGCAGGAAAGCATAGATCACAGGAAAATACTGAAAGATTGACACTTGTCACATATTGAATTCATTTACAGTTTGGATTGTGAGAATGTGAACCACCAACCTTAAGCGTGACCTTGACATTTGAGAAAGGGACATGGGTCTTAAGACTGGACACGTATTCTTGATATGGTAGACATGTATGCTAGGTTATTTTAATATCCTTCCATAGTAACAGTTCGGACACGAATGTTTGTACCTTTAAACTCTCAATTGTGAGAATGTGAACCTTCCAACTTAAGTGTGACCTTGACATTTGAGGTAGAGACATGGGTTTTAGACGCCACACATATTCTTGATCATTATGGTAGACATGTATGCTAGGTTATTTAAGTATCCTTCCATGCATGACAAGTTCTAGTTCGGGCACGACTGTTTGTACCTTTAAACTTAATCCTTCACTCTTAAGTGTGACCTTAACATTTGAGGTAGGAACATTGGTCTTAGATGCAACACATTATCATAATGGGTCCTTTAAATAAATGCATAGGTAAATTACAGTCCGGACACTAAATAATGAATGTTGTGTAAGTGGGATGCACAGACGGACGGTGCGATTTTAATATGCCGCCTTCGAGGACATAAACTTGTGAACAGTGGAGCCAGAGTCATTACTTTTTGAACAATCCCCATACTGTACAGATATATCTTTATCGTTCGAAAGGTATTGTGGCTTTCGAGGGCTTAGACTGAGTGTTAAAAAACTTAAGGTCAATAACTTGCTGATCGAATCCCATCGGGGATTGAATTTATGTAAGGAAGCTATCCAGGTATCTCATATAAGGTTCTATGTAGGTGTTCCCTTATGACAGGTAATTCATGAAGTCACTTTTTATCTTCCTCTTCAGTATATTAATTAGAAAGTTGTCAAGTGACCTACTAAATCGGTTTCCTCGATAAAAACATTTATAATTCAGTTGACTATGTTAACAAGAGCTGTTGGTAGGACAGCAAAGCTCGACTATTCTTTGCTTGAAAGTAAAAAAAAGCCTTGATTAAAAGGTAAAATTTTCTAAGTAAAGAAAAAGGCAAATTTTTTCTTTAAATCCATATTACAGTTATAGGCCTATTACAGTATGCTCTCAAAGAAGAGTATAAAATTTCAACATGTTTCAAAGCCTTATGTTGATGAACTTTGAAAATATTTGAGGTATTACAAAAACTTTCACGTAAATTCTAAGTCGAAAAAGGGGCATAATTCTGTCAAAATGTTTGATAGAGTTACCTCCTCCTGTCTACAGGTTGGGGTCATGATGGTGAACAAGTGTGCAAAATTTCAAAGCCATATGTCAATGGACTTTGAAAATATTTTAGGTATTACAAAAACTTTAACATAAGTTACGCCAACGCTCGGGTGACTACAATAGTTCTACTTATTCTTATCGAATAGTCGAGCTAAAAAGCATTCAATATGTTTGGCCCAACCTTTTTGTATATATAAATGTAGAAGACTGTATATTTAAGTTTACTGAGGTATAACAGGTTTATTAACGTTTGATTGAAAATCAATCATCTGCAGTCACTAAGAATCCCGTGAATGAACACAGGTAACTGATAAACGCACTAAAGCCCGTCTTCGTATCACAGTGGACAAAGACAATGTCATCTGCTTCTAGATGAAAGGTTCCAGATAGTGACATGGAATAGCCATTATTATCACTATTACTGTCATACGGATCATGCATTGTTCCAACCATGTTCACCCTGTTAACACATATATGACATAATAAAAAGTCGATATCATCTCCGAACTGTTTGGATAAGGTGTATGCAAAGTAATAAAATCCCGGAACTTGACATGTGAATATTCCATTCCTGTTGTCGTACGCACCACCTTCGTTATATATACTTCTTGTGAAAATAATTGGAGCTGAACCATTAGCGTGCGTTGCGGTGAAAGCCACGCGGTGTCCTGAAAAAGTAACAAAAACAAAATTACCACTTCAAATAGGTATAAAGTAATTGGCTTCAATTTTACTGCGAGAAATTTGTCTAAAGGTGATTATTTATTTATGTTGTAAGTAATTTCTGCCAAGAAGACCTGTTTAAGCCATTTTTTGTCATTTTATACTTACTTTACGAACTTGGATGATATCTTCTAGATGGCTCTCTAGACCGACTGAACCGTGTAACATTCTACAGACATGAACCGTGTAACATTCTACAGACAAACATCTTTGTTTTTTTCTTTCTTTCAAATTAACATTCTAATTTCATTGAGTAATAAAATAGTTTTAACAAGAAAAATGTTTTATCCTTCATTTGGTTTGTAGAGATTTTTTAGGACAAAGCATATTAGTCAAATTAAAGCAAGAGTAAGCGAGTTATTGCAGTACAATACAGTATTGCTGCATTTATTACACTTTAATGCATATTTGTCAAATCAAAGCAATAAGTGGGCGAGTTATTGTAGTGCTGTACAACATTGCTGCCTTGATTACACTTGAAAGCATATTAATTCGTCAAAGCAAGGAGTGAGCGAGTTATTGTATTACAATGCAGTGCAATACAGTATTGCTGCATTTATTCAGGGTCTTTCAAATAGATAACCTAATCACGTGAGTCAACTGAGACATCTGTTTTTCGTAAAATTGGTCCGACTTCAGACCATTCTATTTGAAAGACCCTGATTTATTACACTTTAAATCAAAGCAAGAAGTGAGCAAGGGAATGCAGTACGATACTATATTACACTTTATGTCCTAAATCAGTATATTTCCGGTATTTTTAATGTGACAGAATTGGCTCAAGAAGTTTAAATAAGGGATAACCTTGTTTATATACAGTTGCTAAAATAAATCATCAGCTAATTACCACCCTTTTAATTGAAATAGCAATAGTTTTATTTGAATTTTGAACGAAAAAGTTTTAAGAATAATAAAGTCATTACCAGTTTTTGATGTGCTATTTTGTTTTACTGCTGGAGTATGTACGGTAACAACTGATGCTTCAAGTCGCTGTGACAGGATTGAAACTGGAAAAAAGGTATATGAAACTGAATTATCAGTTGTAATTTCATACCATGCAAAACGATAATATTGCCAATTAAAATTATATTTGTACAGTAAAATTGTTTTTGCACTGACAAAGTCTTACAGGATGAAACCGGTGCTTTGGGTGTGATGTTACTATTTTAATTATGAACCGACCCAAACCACGTCTGCGATTTAACTGTTTTTTTTTGTTGTTAAAATGTTGTTTTTTTGGAGGGGGAGGGGGGCGTAACCCAGAATATTTACCGTATACCAGCTAGTTTCCGTATTTAATGTATTATACAATGTTTATATAAAATGTTTACTTTGGATTCCAACGATAGGGATTGGAGGGTTCGCCCCTTTTCAGAATATCTTTGATACAGCTATTATGTTTCTACATATATAACCAGGTCTGAACCGTCTATTAACATAGGTATGAAAATCAAGTCATAAACTACATGTATTAAAGTCAAACCACATTACCTCAACCAACCACAGTTAAAACATGAAGAAACAATATTCCGACGGTGACACAAACCTTTATTAGATAATTCCATCACAATGATGGATCCCACTGTAAGAAAAGATACTAGTATAACCATATTCAGAATCACACCACATAACAAAACTTTTTGTGTCAACAAAACTGTTTTCGGATGATCACTTTTATCTCCAGAATGTGAAACTTTAATAGAGTCATATTCCAGGGTTTCAGTGTTTTGTCTGTTTATTTGCTCATATACATTCATGCCCTGTCCAGTTTGATCTTTGCATACATTATTGCCATTCATCATAATGTCTTATTTGTTTCGTTGTTTTTTGTTGTTTCTTTAGTATTCTTTACTGCATCTGTAACAATTTCCTTGTCTCTGTTTCTTAATCCGAGGCCATATTATATTTCAGTTGTATAAGTTATAAGGCAAATAGGTTAATTGATACTCAAATTTGAGAAATTTTTTATCGAACTTCTAAAGAAGTGACAAGTATGTGTCAGAAGAGACACTTAACATTACGGAAATCCTACACTTGTTCACATCCTTTCCTATTGAACATAAAATATTGTTATAAATTGGGAAACAATGAACAATCTGTCAAGGAAAAACCACATTAATATTAAAAAATCCTATTAAGTTTTTAATAGAATTTTTCGTTTTGCTACAGTCAAGGTATTGTCCCTGTTCACAATCCAACATATTGGTCACATTTTTAAAATTATTTCTAAATGGTCGTCATCATCATATTAAACACAACAACCATTTGGCAAGACCTTCAGAAAGACTTGACCTTCACTCCCAAATGACCTTGACCTAAATTTGCTTGATTTTTGCTACAGTTTGCTATAACATAGTGATGCATGAATGGATTGTCTTCATACTTTGATACAACTACATGAGCCTTTCTGACAAGATTTCTAAGATCAAAATAAATTTGACATTGACTCATAAATGACCTTGAAGGTCAAGCTATTGCAATTTCACTTTTTTTCACAACACCTTTGTTATTATTTATGGTTGAATATCAAGGGCTGGTAATTTTGCCAAGCACTTGGTCAGAAATATGCACTCATTTCATCTCATTATCCAGCATTGAGAAAAGTGGAGTCTATGCTGTCAGCAGACAGGTCTTTTTTTTTATCCCAGATAACCAATGTCATCCTGAACATAGAAAAATCGTCTTTATGAGAGTTTATCCAATATGTTGTGTTGAGAGTGTTTTACTGCAATGGACCGGATGATCTGGTTATTTATTGCAGATGACCCATGTCAATGGACTTTGTTTTGGCAGAAAATAGATTATGGGAAAACAGTTAAAATGGTTGAAATAACGATAACTTTTTTGTTTGACATTTTTATCCTACTCTATGGGGGGATTAGTTTTTGCCCTTGTGTCTTGCGTACCTAAAAAAGGATTTAACCTGGAGTCATAAAACTTTACAGGACTGTTGATCAGCATGTGTTGTTGAGCATCTGGGGTTTTGCTTGTTTTTAATTTCTTGTAAGCATACTTCAAGATATAAAATTGGGATTTGAAATTCTTAATATTGGGGCAAAATCAAGATGTCAACATTGGATAAACTGACAAAAACAATGGAGTTAAATATGGGCATCTGTGGCTGGCCTCTGGACATATTTCTAGTTTGACATTTGGTGGTGCTTTTAGTAACATATGCTAAAATGTAACATAATGAAGTTCAGAATGGTCAAAGATAAATATCTATGTTTATTCCTTTTCTAGTCAGTTTTCCAGCATTGCTGGTAGAAGGAGACCCTCAAGTTTTGTGTTTGTTTGTTTTACAGCGCAACTACACAGTATGACATGGTGCAAATAAGAAAAGTGATTTTGACTAACCTAAGGTGTTACAAACTTCAAAGGTCAAGTCCACCTGACCTGCTGGAGCTAAGAGATACATACAACTCCATTTAATCGCTTCTTACCATCACGCAGGAATAAACGTGGCTGCAATTCTTATTCCTCAATTGCTCAAGTCAACCCCTTAGCCACAAGAGGGGAGACTCAAAAATAAGTACCACACTGTTCATTAGTACTTTATTAGTAGTAATTAAGATATGATCATATGATCAAGCACCAGAAACAATCCAACCTCCCTGACAAGATTCGAACCTTGGCAACAAGGGGCAAGAGGTCCAAAGTCAGCGACATAAACCACATGACAAGAGGATCTACAAAAATATAGATAACAAATATTAAGAAAACCCTATTTTTTATTCATACTGTTTCAAGTTTAATACAAACATATAAGACATTATTCAGTTTATGTATGAATAATCAACAATGAGTTGCGCTCATTTATAACCAAGGTTTTTAACTAAATGATAATGAAGTGTTAAAACAATGCAGAATGGATTTTGTAATGGAATGGTTATTATCATGAAATCATAAAAAAATAATGCTGTTTCAAGTATGGGAAGGAAATAATGATGGAATGTTACATTTATTCTCCTGATTAACTTATGACTAAAGCTGATGTATAAATTGTGAATGAAGTATATATAATACAGGTTTTATCATAGAATAAGCTTATGCTGTAAGTTAAATACTTCAAATTTAAATTTCACATAAAAATCTGATCTTGTGGTTATTTAACTTTTTTTTTCTGCATGAGTTCTGTCTCAAATCGTAAGATTTTTATTGCTTAATGATGATTTCTGACCAATCAAATACATGTTCCTAAGATCTGAATAAGAGCTTAGAAAAAAAAAATTAAGCTTGAACGTTCAAATTTCTAAAATGATTTTTAAACAATTGACTTAACAATGATCAAACCACAAAGAAGCAACATTTCTAATTATTACGCTTTCACATTACTTTATTAGCTCAATAAAAAAAATTCTGCCCTGCTACAGATTTGGATTTCTCTGTGTATGGGATTTCAATATAAAAATATGAACACATGTATTTAGCAACCAACAGATAGATTGGCAAAAACATCTGTCAAGTTTGACCAGAATCCGTCTTGTCTTACTGTCAGCACAAGTCTTAATTAACAAAACAAAACATTCAGATAGTTCAAATTCTAAAGAATTTTATAAAACAGAAAATATATAGATGTGGGATCTAGTGTCCATTTGTCAATTTCAACACATTTGGTAACCAAAAATTTGTTTTAATAATTTAATAAATGACCAAATGACGATACATCTGTATGTCCTATATAAATGTAGTATAAAAATATTTGAGACAAATTTTAGTATAACCAATGAATGCTCCCTAATTCCATTTTATGTGGCCTTATGATGAGGAATGGTAAAATCTATTTCATTTTTAACTTCAGTGACCTTGACCCAATTACGTTGAGTCTTGACCCCTGGGTAGAGGTGCATAGATGGTCTATAATCTAACATATATGAAAGATATGATTCAATAAATGTAGGTGCCATGGGAAATGGTAAGAAAATAGGATGAATTGAAGTACAATTTAACAGGCTACTATATTCTCTATTGAAAAACAAAGTAAACCATAACTTGACATACATGTACATTTGTATATTTTGAAGTGTAATGCCCTATGAAAAACAAGATTTAATTTGACTTCAAATCTTCATTTTTTTAAAGATAAAACATACATGTTTTAGCACTGACCAAATATATACAGATCAATAAACAGATAAAATCAAACTGCACAGCAAATCTTAAAAACCTTAACAATTGACATGCTGGATTTTTTATGTACTGGATTTGCCATGCTTTGAATTCTGAACAAAATTTAATTCAAAAATTTAATTGATTTCAAATTTCAATATCAAAATACAAATTTTTTTAACCAACACTTTAGAGCTTAGTCGGAAGGCATTGAAATGGAAAAACAGCCATTTTAAAGAAATAATAATTGTATTCATTAACATTAAATCTCCTCTATTTCTTCTATAATGAACCTGTCCAGCTTTGAATTTGGAACAGTCCATTCAAAGTTTAAGGTATTTCAACACTAAAATACAAAAGTTGAGCTACCAACATTATAGAGCCTGGTCTCACGAATGTGCAGACTGGCCAGGCTCTATACTGGTGGAAAAGTCTGATCACTTTTGGCTCCAGCAGGCTAAAGGTTAATGGTTGCAGGTCATTTTAATCCTAAGTACAGTGTGAACAAAAAACAACATATCATTATATTCAAAAAAATTACAAACAGTTTACATGACTATTCTTAGTGCTTAAAGACCAAGCAGTTAACAAAGGGGAAACATTCATTAAAAATTCGTAATTGTATTATTGCCACTTGGTCATTTACCTAGATCAATTATCAATATGAGGAGAAACTGCATCCAAATAACAAGTTAAGTAGGATAGCCAAAATATTGTTTGAAAGAGTCAAGATAAAAAGTTAAATATCCTTATACAAAAAACGTATCACATATCCTGTGACAAAAATTCCTTTAAACAACAAAAAGATTGTGTGCATTTAAAACCATATATACTAACACCAAACTTTCCAAATTGCACAAAATACAAATAAGCAATATTAAAAAACTATGTCCAAAAAAACAAACATATCAGTTGATATAACTATAACTAACACATTTGTAATCTTTATTTACATGTCATCATTATATTGACAATTTATAGTATTCACTGTAACACAACGTTCAAGACAAAGTTTCTACGAAAAGTGCAAACCTAACAGATATGACATAGACCAAACCAAGTGACCTTGAACCAAACACAAGTGACCTTGAACCAAACACAAGTGATCTTGAACCAAACCAAACTGACCTTGAACCAAGCACAAGTGACCTTTAACCAAACAAATGACCTTGAACCAAACACAAATGACCTTGAACCAAACACAAGTGACCTTGAACCAAGCCCAAATGACCTTGAACTAAACCCAAGTGATCTTGAACCAAATACAAGTGACCTTAAACCAAACCCAAGTGACCTTGAACCAAACGCAAGTGACCTTGAACCAAACACATATGACCTTGGACCAAACCCAAGTGACCTTGAACCAAATCCAAGATGGAGGTTCACACAAGGTACTTGCCTCATGTACTGGTATCAATGAAAGACTAACATACAGACTGAAAACTTGAGAATGAGCAAAATTCGTGATCTGCAAAGTTTTAACAAAACTTTCATGATTTATTTTGACCTAGTGACCTAGTTTTTTGATTCACATAACAGTATAACCTGATCATTCTAAAAATATTGTTTTTGATTATTCCTAAATATTTTATATAGTGTTTATATTACATATAGTTAGTTTAGTGAAAACAATTATACTATTGAACGTTTAATCAGAGAAATATACTTTTTACATACAATGGTTTTTACACCAATGTTTATCTTGAGTTTAGCCTTCAGAAAACTATCAAAAACATAATCTACTTTTTCAGGTAACTTTTTAGGAGATCTTTATTTGAAGATTTTATACTGGTTTGTGGCTGACAAAATATTAATATTGAGACAAATTAATGCTCGGAGGGGAATAAAAACATTTGACAATTTACAAGGAGCTGTATAAACATTGTTTTCTGTAATTATAACCCCTGCCCTATAGTCATTGTCTAGCTACTTGTCTTATATAAGGTTAAAAAGTTTACACTGGGCAATAAAACTTGTCAAGTCTTGTAATCCAATATTATATCACCTTTATTATA